ATGATATCACTATCAAAAATAGATATCCACTTCCCCTGATTGGAGAACTAGTAGACAAGTTGAGCGGAGCAAAGTACTTCACAAAACTGGATGTAAGATGGGGATATAACAATATCCGAATGAGAGAGGGAGACGAGCCGAAAGCAGCATTCAGAACAAATCAGGGGTTATTTGAACCATTAGTCATGTTCTTCGGACTGACAAATTCCCCCGCCACGTTCCAAACAATGATGAACGCACTCCTTAGAGAATTGATAAACAAAGGGCTCGTGATCATATATCTAGACGATATTATGATATTCACAAAGGATATAGAAATGCACAGAGCAACAACACAACGTGTATTAGAAATCCTAAGAAAGAACCATCTCTAACTTAAACCAGAGAAATGCGATTTTGAACAAACAGAAGTAGAATATCTGGGATTGATCATCTCAGAAAACGAAATTTGCATGGATCCAGTGAAAGTAGAAGGAATTAGCAAATGGCCAGAATGTAAAAACAAAAAAGACATCCAAGCATTCTTGGGCTTTGTAAATTTCTACAGAAGGTTTATAGAAGGCTTTGGGGAAGTAGCAAAACCATTGACCAAGTTAACGGGAAAAGAGGAATTCATTTGGGGAAATGAACAATACAAAGCATTTGACACCTTAAAAAGATGCGTAGCTTCAGCCCCTGTGTTAGCCCTCCCAGTACCACAGAGCCAATATAAAGTAGAAGCATATAGTAGTGACTTTGCAATGGGAGCTGTCTTATCACAGAGACAAAAAGATGACTGGAAGCCAATTGCATACCTCTCTAAAGTGTTGAATCCCACGGAACACAATTACGAGATCTATGACAAAGAACTTCTTGCCATCATGACAGCACTCAATGAATGGAGACACTACTTAATAGATGCAGAGGAAGAATTTGAAATATGGACGGATCATCAAAATCTGTTATATTTCAAAGAACCTAGGAAGTTGAACAGACAACAGGCACGATGGATGACAGAATTGAGTCAATATCATTTCACAATACACCATATTCCTGGAAGAAAACATATAAAAGCAGATCTGCTCTCAAGACAATCAGATCACAATAAAGGAGAAAAAGACAATGAGGATGTTGTACTACTAGATGAGAAACTATTCGTACAAATGACCCTTTCATCAGAACAAAGACAAGCAGTCAAAGATAGTCAAGAGGAAGAATTAGTAATTTCAAAATGGATCTTAAAAAGGAAAGGGAATGTAGATGACCTGATAAAAAGGATGAAAGGAAAGATAGAGAGAAGAGAGGATGGATAGTTCGAAGAAGAGGGCTATGTAGTATTCAAAGGCAGGATATGCGTACCAAAAGATACCAAGCTAAGGGAAGAAATCATCAGATGAAACCATGACTCTACCATTGCAGGTCACCCAGGTAGATATAAAACAAAGGAATTGATCACTCGACAATACTGGTGGCCTTATATGGACAGAGATATCACAAGATACGTAGATGGATGTGAAGTCTGCCAAAGAACTAAAACAGACCACAAAAAGAAAGTGGCACCACTCCATCCAAACGAAATCCCGAGTAAACTATGGCAAATCATTTCAGTGGATCTGATCGGACCATTACCAGAATCAACCGGATACAACATGATAATGGTAGTCATAGACCAATTCACAAAAATGATCAAAGTAATTCCCACTCAGATGGAGATCACCTCAGAAGGAGTAGCGCGATTATTTAGAGATCACGTATTTAGAAACTATGGCATACCCAAAAAGATCATTTCAGATTGGGGACCGCAATTTGTTTCTAAATTTATGAAAGATCTACACACGCTTCTTCAGATAAGGGCAAATCCATCAACGGCATGGCACCCACAGACGGATGGACAAACAGAGAGGATCAATCAAGAGATAGAGCAGTATCTCAGGATCTTCATAAATCATAAACAAGATGATTGGGCAGAATGGCTTACTTTAGCAAAGTTCTCATATAACAACAAACAACACTCTGCAACAGGATATAGCACATTCTACCTAAATCAAGGACGCCATCCGAGAACACAGGAAGTAGTGAAAGTGGAAGTGAAAAGTGAAAGCGCGGAAGATTTCGTAAAGAGAATGACAGACACGAGGAAAAAAGCGGAAGAATCATTACAAAAGGCGGCAGAACAGATGAAGAAACAATATGACAAAAAGGAAAGGGATGCTGTGGAATATACAATAGGAGACAGAGTATATGTAGAAGCAATGAACATTTCAACAGACCGACCAACTAAGAAACTGGATGATAAAAGACACAGACCATTCGAGATCATTGAAAAAATAGGCGAGTCAGCCTACAAACTACTACTACCACTGACATAGCGATCCATTCATCCAGTTTTTAATGAAACAAAACTCACACCCTACAAAGAACCACAATTCCCTTCTCAGAAACAACCCAAACCAATACCACCGGTGATAGTGGATGGGCAAGAAGAGTATGAGGTCGAGGAAGTTCTAGACTCACGTCTAAAAAAGGGAAAACTGTAACAACCAAGAGTTAGTTACTCTGGCGCACACAGAACACACTATAAGGAAGATGATTGAGGGAGTGGTTACCCCTTAGGATGCAGAGAGTTAGTTGGTATACAACAGGAGGACTCGCTGAGTCCTTCCCCAAGATCTATTGGGGTTTATATACTAATACAGGTTTGTTTGTACATATGTACTGTACAGTTGCTAGAGGCAGTGGCTGCTGATGTCATGGGGCCTAGCCCGTGTGACCAGCTCCACTGCATGAGATACTTGTATCTAAAATAAGAATAAAGGTGGCACCACGCAAGAAAGGTGGAGTTTGAACTACAAGGGGAAGTGCCACATGGCACAGTGTGAAAACTACAGTACAAGGTTAAAGCGGAGAATGAAATTTAAAGGAAAGGTCCGAAAATGAAAAGTAAAGTAAATGGTCACATGACTGGTTATATGACTTGGAAAAATGAAAAGTAAAGTACAAAAAGTGAAGCGTAAGTAGGTTCTGGTATGTTAATTGTAACAAAAACTAGAATACCTAGTTCATTGGAAAAACTACCCAAAAGAGGAACACACATGGGAACCTGAACAACACCTATCCAATTCACCAAAAAAGGTGAAAATATTCCACAATAAAAACCCTAGTGCACCTCGATGGATACAATTTCAATTACAATTCCAACCTTTTGAAAATTTTACTACGACAAGAGTACAAAAACAACTATTTAACTGGGAATCTGGGAAACTTGACCCTCACTTCCGAGACGAAAGTCTTAAGGAGGGGGTAATGTCACAATCCGAATCAAACCTTATCTAATCTCAAAATCTTATTTATTATAGTCACGTGATATTACTATCACATGATTCATACTGGCAAGTAGTTAGTTATATCTGGTCACGTGACAATCACCTGACAAAGCCTAGACTATGACGTAGAACATCAGTCAGCGCCTCATAGCTGACCTTCAGAAACGTGTATATACCAACACTCATGTACATACATTTCCTCAGTTGTTGATTACCTCTTAATATCAATACTTAACACTACTTGCTTGATTTTGAAACTTACACCTCCGTTAGTTTGGCATAAGGCGTAGGGATCTAACAAGTTTGTGCGTCAGGAGCCTGCTATCACTGGGAACCTCATTATCTCATCATTCTCAAACCTACCTTGTGCTACAATTAGCAAGGTAGTGCTTGTCTATACTTGCCACAAAGCCCCCATCTTCTATATTCCAACTATCCCTCCTCCTCAAAACCCACACCCATACATCCCTGGGTTTTACTTTGAAGGATCATTATACATACCACCCTGAAGTGGTTATGTATAAACCTGTTTAATAAGTAAACACTAAGTAGAAAGTCAATAGATGTCTAACTTGAAAACATATTTGTAACAACCAAGAGTTAGTTACTCTGGCACACACAGGAACACACTATAAAGGTAGTGATGAGGGAGTGGTTACCCCTTAAACTGCAGAGAGTTTGTTGGTTTACAACAGGAGGACTCGCTGAGGAGTCTCCTTGATCTATTGGGGTATTTATACTAATACAGAGTGTTTGTACCTATGTACTGTACAGTTGATAAAAGCAGTGGCTGATGATGTCAGAGGGCACAGCCCGTGTGACCAGCTCCACTGCGTGAGAGGGTTTGTGTTTAAAATAAGAATAAAGGCAGCGCTGCACGAGAAGGTGGGGTTAGAACGAAAAAGGAAAGTGCCGCATGGCACGGAGTGTGAACTATAGTAAAAAGGTTAAAGCGGAGAATGAAAATTAAAGGAAAGGTCCGAAAATTGTGTTATTGTAACAATATTGTTATAATGTCTCACCTCAGTACTGTAATAACAGACTGAGGTGTCAAGTGCTCGAACACGGAGAAAATAGATGCTGCAGGAATATCCGAAGATGAAAAAGGAAGTAGTTTCCCGCAGTTACAAATTCGTAAGTAATGTAAGTGTTTCTAGGCAGAGGCTCAACTACTATGAGCGTCGTCTAATGCTCCAACACACCCCACAAACAACCAGACCACTCCACTGTTCTAGGAGGCAAAGCCCATACACAAGTTCCATGGAATCTGGGAGGATTGTGTGTTAGTTTGTTTTTCGTGTGTGGTTTTCTAACAACAGTTCTCATCATCAACACTGGGACCTGTCTAACTTCAACACATTGATAAGGTATCTGTAAGTGATGCTCAGCAACATGGGAACATTTCCTGGGAATGGTCTATAGCCAAGTGATCTATGATCTGTTCAGCCTGGGCTGTAACATCGTCTAACCCAGGATGACTACAACACTCACATCCCCGGGTACACATTTTGAACCCAGGGCCATTAAATACATCTATTACATTACTGTACAAGAGTTTTACCTACTATTCAAAGTCTCCTGGATTTCTTTACCTTTAGTGTCTGATCTACCTTAGTGTCCTTGGCTTGTTGAAGCCGCTTTACTGGACTATTACCTGATTGTGGCCTGTGTGCAATGAATTTCCCCATCCATCTCCTCAGGTTTCATCCTGTTCAAGAACAGCGCTGATTCACTAAGAAGCGTGATATTGTTACACAGCTAATAAACATGTATAATATGCCAGGCCAAAAGAGTCCTTTGATTCTCTCTGTATTGCTAGACACATGGCACCGAGAAAAACGCTGGCATTGATTTATCAGCTGAGAAGTGAGTCAGGGACAGAAGAGCCTACATATGATCTGCATATGCTCAGGCTGTATAACTAATTATCACTTTCAACCGAGTCCAAAGAACTCCTAGGGAGAGCACTAGCAATTTCCTCCGTTTGAGTGTGAGTGACGTTGACCTGGACTGGACGAGCGAAGCGTAATGATCCGTCCTTTTCATCATCCATTGCATTTTCATTCGATGAACTTTTTCCGTGAGTAAGACCGAGACCGAGGCGGACAATGATAAGTAGCGGCGTCGTCGTCTAAGTGGATTGATCGTCAATTTATTATCCTTCGATACATTCAAAGTCTGCATCAATAGCATGAAGAAACTTACCGCCACTTGGACCGCTACGTTGACAGCGGCGAATCCAGCGGGACTTCCTGCCACGTCAAGCGCGAACATGATCACAGTACAGCTAGCTATAAGTGCGCCTGACTCGATGACGGTGTACATCGTTGCTTGGTAGCTGTGGTTGGATATAGGGGCGGTTCGTATGCTAGCTCTCCACAACGGATATGCGATCCCACACGTGACAGTCGTGTTCAGGAATAGATCGAGTGTCCAGCTTGCCTTTCCGAATGCTTGGACTTTTGATGAGAAAAGCAGGCCATTTGACGGAGCGATGAGCACTACGGAAACGATCGCACACGCTGGATGGTACAAGTTAGAATAAATGAAAAGCTGGGCGATCAACGGTCTGACTCACCGATATGGGCAGCTTCTACAAACAGCTGCCGAAAAAGTATATATGATGAAAATGCTAAAATGAAATTGAAGTTCGTACCGAAAGAAAGAGTAATTTCCTATTATGACCCCAGACAATGTATAACCTCCAGATCTGTCCACAGATTCAATTTTAAACATCACGAGGGTAATAGATAATTACCAGTAGTAAGTCTTGCGCAAATACCTGGAGGACGAGCTTGAGGGGGAAAGGTCTACTGGAAGGAAGGAGACGCTTACGTTTGCAACATACATAGTCAAGTTTATGATAAATAATGCATTCGGTGTGGCAAAATAAATGTCAGCACCGTGCGGAATAGACGCATATGCATGCCCGGTGAATGCATCCAACAATTGGATAAAAGCTAAGATGGCGTGTGCTGTTGATATAGACATATGAAAGGCGCATGAAACATATAGAATCCTGCGAATGATGACTAAAACGCGCGTTATTCGATGACAGGGCGAACACACCAATGAGGCTGTCGATGTCTGTCTGTCAAGATATGGATACAGGCTCCGAAGAGGATGCAACTTGAATAAAGAGAAAATAGATGTTAAGTTTGGCGGTGGGACAAGCGACAAGTTGTGCGACACTGACTTGATTCCTGTCCGCAAAAAGTCCAATAACGACGCGATCAGAAAAGATGCGCATCAAGGTGAGTGAGGTTGGACACACCGAAAAGTAGAGACTCGAGCCATGTAGACGTAAGAGACATTCGCCCTAGGGATGGTAGTATGATTTCTGCGTCCATGTTGGCATGTTCAAGTGCGACTGCATGGCGCAGTCGTGGAATGAGGGCCTATAAAGCGAAGACTTGGACCCCTTTCTTGCTAGTGCATTACTGTTTCACTAGATTTTTTTCAGGTGACCAGGACGGGTGTGGACACGGGACAAGACGAAGATGAAAGCAAGATTACTCCGCGATAATGGCTGGGAACGCGAAGGGCTAATAATGCATTACGGCAGTGACAGCACCCCGATCTCAGCAACGCGCGAGTCAGACCCGGTTCGCTCGGCTCGACTCGTGCGCATCCCTCTAGGAGGGCGCTTAGCCCATTGTTCTCTGCCCACAGCCTTGTCTGTACAGCAACGCGTTACTTAACGCCACCTCAAGCACGACAACGGTTCAAGGGTTTGGTCTCTACGTTCACTTGCAAGACAGAGTACAGCTACTGCGATGAGTTACAGAGGCGACAACAGAGGCAGGGGTGGTGGGTTCGACGGAGGACGTGGTGGGCGAGGACGAGGTGGCCCCGGGGACAGAGGGGGTCGTGGTGGACCTCCTGATCGTGGTGGACCTCCTTCTGGTCGTGGTGGACCTCCTTCTGGTCGTGGTGGACCTCCTTCTGGTCGTGGTGGACCTCCTTCTGGTCGTGGTGGACCTCCTTCTGGTCGTGGTGGTCCTCCCCCAGGTGGTCGTGGTGGCTTCCAGGACAGAGGGCGGGGTGGGCCGAGAGAGTATGGCGGGTAAGTGACTCCGACGACGCCACCACTCATCTCTGACACTGACCACCATCATCACCAGTGTCTTTGCACAGAACGTGCCCGCCAATATCGATCAACGCATCGCAGACAAGTCAGACGACGCCCTGGTGGCCTCCTTCAAGCAACTCTCCGTTGGGGACGGTCCTACAGACCTCCCTCTTCGTCCTGGCTTCGGCACTGTGGGCACACAGGTCAAACTGAGAAGCAATTTCTTCCCAGTTCGTGTCCCAAAGGGCCCTCTCTTCGAATATGATGTTAGTATTGCACCAGCGGCAGGTACAGCTGCCCGCCGTGTCAAGCGCCGCATCTTCCAGCTCGCAGAACAGACCCCAGATTGGGCATCTGCAGGCATGCGAGGCACCGTTGCTCACGACAATAGCGCAAAATTAATTGCAGCAAATTCACTACCTCAGCCACTTGCCATTAGGGTGCCTTATTATGATGAAGACGAAAGTGGACCCCCTGAGACAGGAGGAAAGGAGTATACACTCACTATAAAATTCATACAAGAAATAGAGACTAGAAGTTTATTAAAGTAAGCCCAACGTTGGCTCTTCCCATGATCTCAAGGCTAAAACTATTGATTCTAGTTATCTCGCAGGACAACCGCAGTATAAAGGATACGACATTCTTCCTGTTATCGCAGCCCTCAATGTCATTCTCGCTGCACACCCTCAACGTGGTGGCGTAGTCGTAGGCCGTAATCGTTACTTCTTTCGTGCTGCGGCACCGCCCGTACCCCTTGGAGGCGGGCTCGAAGCATGGAAAGGATTCTATTCCTCAGTGCGCCCAGCGCACAAACAATTGATGGTCAACGTCAACGTCTGCACTACTGCATTTTACACTCCTGGTAACTTAGCGGATGCATTGATAGCGTTTCGTGAGGCGAGCTTCAGTGCTAATCCGAGCGCGTTCGTCAGACATTTAAGGGTGAAGACCACACACCTAGGTTATCGTAAGACAGTCAAGGCTCTCTCTCGTCAGAATGCAAAACAATATCGTTTTCCCTGCGAAGAGCTGGGCGGACAAGTTACAGTTGAACAGTATTTCCTAGCCAGTAAGTCACCTGTCGTCTACTCTAAGTGTTATGATCTGCTTGTTGACATGGACTTTTATTGACAGAATACAGCATCAGATTGAGACGTCCAGAGTTACCATTAGTTGACGTGGGTGGGAAAAACAAGAATTACCTTCCCCCCGAAGTCTGCGAGATACTCCCAGATCAGCCCTACCGAGGAAAACTAACGGAAGAGCACACGGCTGCAATGATCACCGCGGCTTGCAAACCGCCAAACGTGAATGCGAATGCAATAGTCACACACGGTCTGAACGAACTGGGTTTCCGCCTTACTGCTGGCCCCTCCCTCTTGGGGGCCTTTGGGATCAGCATAGGTAACGAGATGGCCGTAGTGCCGGGGCGAATCCTTCCTTCTCCCGGGCTCACCTATAGCAATGCTCCTGCCCAAATAGATGAACGGGCATCGTGGAATATGCGCAGCGTGCGTTTCACCGTGGGCGGACGGCTAGAGCGTTGGGTGGTGCTTCTGGTGCAGGACGGTGGACGCGACGAGTTTCGTGGAACGAACGATCCTGAGCTACGCAATGTGATCAAAGGCTTCCGTGATATGTGCTCGAAAAGTGGTATTACCGTAGATCGCCAGGACCCTGCGTTCGTTGCCGTTCAACTTCCACCGAAGAACCGCGGAGACACGATGCGGCGTGAGGCCATAACTGCTATCAGAAATGCGCTGGTCAGCGTCAAGCCCAAGCCTAATATGGTATTAGCGATATTGTCAAGCGGCGACCATGCTATATATGAGGGTTTCAAACACTTGTGCGATGCCTACCTGGATGTAGCGACGGTGTGTGTGCAGTCATCGAAGATTAGGAAGGAGAAGGGGCAGATGCAGTACTACGCGAACGTTGCTTTGAAGGTGAATATGAAGATGGGCGGTGTAAATCACAAATTGGACGACAGGAGTGGGAAATGGCTCAAAGAGGCGCCTACGATGATAGTCGGGATGGATGTGACGCACCCTGGTCCAGGTAGTGTCAAGGGGACTCGTGAGTATATTGTGGTTCAAGATGGATTGTGTGGCTGATGAGTGCACAACAGCATCCATTGCAGCGGTTGTTGCAAGTGTCGACAGCCACTATGCGCAGTACCCAGCAAGTATGGAATTACAGGAGACAAAGAAGGAGGCAAGCATCTCACTCATCTTGTTGGCTTTTTCTCATTCATATATCCATGTAGATGATCACGAACCTTGCTCAAATGATGGTGGAACGATTAACCCTGTGGAAATCGCGCAATGGCAACAAGCTGCCTGAACGCGTTCTTGTATATCGTGATGGTGTATCAGAGGCAAGTTTGCTATCAAGCAGAAATCTGTTACTTTGTGGGACTTATCTGTGTATTTGCAGGGACAATTTCCTATCGTACGCATAGATGAGCTTCCTGAGATCAAGAAAGCTTTCCGTAAATTCGACACGCCTCAAAAGCCATACAAACCTAAGCTTACCATTGTCGTGTGCGGCAAGCGTCACCACACTCGCTTTTACCCCACCGAACCGAGTGCCGCAGACCGAGATGGCAATCCTCGCCCTGGGACAGTGGTCGATCGCGGTGTGACAGCTGTATACGAATTTGACTTCTTCTTGCAAGGTATGTACCCTATTCGATGCAGTCTGGGTGGAGCAAATATCTAACTTTATGGGATCTAGCACATGGTGGTCTGCAGGGGACAACGAGACCCACACACTATTACGTAGTGCATGATGAGATCAAGTTTGGTGCGGATGAGCTGCAGGGCTTGACGAACAACCTGAGCTATATATTTGCGCGTGCAACGAAGGCTGTGAGCCTTGTCTCCCCCGCATACTACGCCGATATGGCATGTGATCGTGGGAGGTGCTACCTGCGCCAGTTGCTGCAGGGAGTCTTTGGCGATGGCACCGCGACAGCGACCAGTGGTGGAAGTGCGACAGAGGACGAGGTACGACGTGAGGCCGAACGGCTGTGGCACGGAGGCGTGTCTGGCGACAAGTTGAAGGATACGATGTTTTATCTATAAGTGTGTGTGGATGAGTTTGTATCTAGTGTGTATCTCTCCCCCAGAAAGGTGGTGATGGTGGGGGGTTGGGCGATACGAAGGAATTTTCTTGTATTTCTTATCGATAGACGCTGGTCACTGTACTTCTCTTCTCTTCCTTTTGTGTAAAATTATCTATGTGTACGTGTGTACTGAAAGTCATGGGATCTTGGAGCTGGATATGTAATACCGATATTGATTTGATGTACGTCTTCTTGATTTTCTTAGTTACAACATTATGAATACAGTTTGTATTTCGAGTTCACTGCTGCCACTCCCCAATGCGCGCCTTGGCTGCTTCCCATTCCATGTTGATACACTCAACCTTCCTCTCACTCCTTGGTATAATCTGACAATCAAAGCTCACAGGGCGTGAGTTGAAGCCATTTGTATAGGCCCACGAGTCTGGGACGACCTTGTTACCTGCCGTGTCGACAATAGGGGTGATGTCAAACGCCCAGAGGATGCGAGAGACGTTGATGAAAAGCGAATTCAGGGAGAGATGCATCCCTGGGCATATGCGCCGTCCGAAACCGAAGGGCAGTTCGAAGGTTTGTAAGCGTGGATTGGTTGTCTCGAGGAAGCGCTCCGGACGGAAGTCATCGGGATCGGGGAACATCACAGGATCGTGCATGATTCCTCTGCAATTTTGGGTGCCTCAGCAAAGTCTGTATCTAATGATATCGAAAGAGAGAAACGAAGATGCACTCACGCCATATTTGCAAAGACAGTGGACCCTTTGGGGATGAACCTGCAAAGAGCTGGTCAGAATTTTCGAGTGAAGTGGTATTAATGATTTGGAGCTACATTCCGTTATACTCATCGTCTTGAGTTACGGCGTGGGGAGTACCACCTAACACTGCGACAGGACGCCATCTGAGTGCCTCGTTGATAAGTGCACTGATGTATGGTAGGTTGTCTTTGTCGTCGTAGTCAGGCATACGGTCTGCGCCAACCACAGCATCCAGCTCAGCTTGTGCCTTTTTCATCACATTGGGAAAATGAAGCATGGCAACTTTTGTGCAGTATAAGGTCAGTATTTCAGTAACGATGATGATAGATGATTTAACGTACGGAAGAATGTGCTTAGAGTTCCTGCAGTCTGACATGCTTTTCTTAGTTGCTGTTTTGATCTCGATGGTTCAAAGGATGCAATTCATACCGTCTCGATCCCAGCACCAAATGGTGACGATACAGCGTACGCGACCTCCAGTTCGCTCAGTCCATTCTTAGGCATGTCGTTGATTGTCTGAGTCGTCAAGCAGTCCTGGATAGTCCCTTGAGACATGCGTGCCTTCACGTCTTCCAGAAGGTGCATATAAAGCTTTATGTCCCGTTGTCGGCGCCGCTCGGGCTCTTCGCGAAACCACTGCAAGAAGCGCTGAATACCAAGCGTAAGAATGAGTGGGGCATTAATATTGACGATGGAAGGAGTGCGTACAGGCAGCTTCAGGAGCCACGGCCACGATTCAACAAGATATTTTCCTGGGATACTGTTGAAAAAGTTAGTTTGTCTTTGTCTAAACACTTGGCAAGATCATTGTTATTTACTTGACACTGAAAAAAAGTGTGAGATGATGAGCTATGCATGAACGTACAAATTCGTTGAAGAGTTAAATTACCTAGTGAGATCTTGAAGCGCAAAAGAATGAGCAATGACACCCAACATTTAACAACAAGTTCTTACAGTCCATGGCCTCTATGTTCTCTTGCACAATCCATTCGTCGATACTTTCCACGCGTCTACCGTACGAAACAGATACTACTACACTTGCAGCATATCTGTGGGAGAGATGGTCTCAGGCGGGGGGACTAAAACAACCTGTAGGAAATATATACCTCTGTAAGTGCTGTTCCCAATGTTTTGGGTCATTCAATATTTGATACATTGATAGTTTCGACTCTAGTGATTGAATATCCTTGTACGTATCAGACCTGCGTGCATGAAATCCTGAATGTAGAACCTAGTATAAAACAAGCTCAGTGCCTCTGGAAGGCTGAAAGAGTAGGTAAGTTATTACTTTGCGCCATTTTCGCCACGGTTCACCGTATGGTAGCATAAGACCTCGTTGATTGTCAGATAGGATTTCGCCCCTAAGAAACAAATTACATGGCAATCCAATACTTAACACTGGAAGTGGCCACATACGCTACAACAAAGCGAGGTCTACTAGAGTAGATGTCTGAACGTTTTTCAAGGAGGTCCCATGCAGCCTGTGCTGTCCCGAGCACTGGTCGAAGAGATGCTGATGAGATATTGATCTGCATCTACTAACAAGTAATGTACCAACCTATGACTGGCGTACGACCAAGAAAGAGAGAGACTATAGATCCTGGTTGACGGGATTATCCATAAGTATAATGATAGTTCATTGGAAGCGCTCAGATAGAGGACATACCGTACTGGGTGTTCCATTCAGCAAACTTTCTCCATGGTTTTACTGCAGGCATTTGATGTTTATTACCAATCCATGGTAGACCTGGAGGACCCGGAGGCATAGATTTCCTCCTCGAACGCGAAGATAGGACTGAGCTAATAGTGCAAACAAGAGAGATGCATGTCAGAGCTACTAAGATAGGCTCCAACGAGCTCCCAGAGAGGAAGTTTAGTGATTGTCGTAGCTTTATGAAAGAATCCATCATGGGTACTGGTCGGTAGACTGGCAGGAGGAAAGCAGGATGGTTTGCAGACCAGTATAGGTGAGAACAATATATTGATTCACACATACTTACCAAGCCTTTCGAGTCCACGGGTCCATTACTGTAAACGTTATCATTCGAACTTCAAGGCCTTGAGGCTCCCACAAGACTTCTAACCATCCGATCAGCGGAACTCACGACCTGGTGACCTTTCGCACTTTCTTGTAGTCAAGGCCTTTGGACATGCCAACGTATGCCCTTTGGGAACGAGATTATGTCGCTGGCAATATTCAAGAATACTTCATAATAACCGTGAAATATATAATGATGTACATATGTCGCGTTGATTGAATTGACATGTTTGTCGCGCGGGCGGCGTGAGAGAAATTAAAATTCAAGTTCGACGATACTTCAACTGGAAGTTTGTACTACTAGTACTTACTAGTAAAATACATTTTGAAAACTGTCAACTTCATCTACATTAGCTATCATGTATACGGTTATGCTCGTGCAGAAATGGACCAAATATTGTAATACTACAACGCTGCTGTCTCACCAACCCAACTCTTCCACAATTCTGCACTCAGTCAAACTCAATTTGATCGACTTTAGCCCTCCAAATCATATAATAGTTTGAACCTCTTATTTCCTAAATAATAAAAAAGCTCCCGTTCCTGGTTTTGCCCTGAGGTATGTGAGGCCCATTATTTATTCTACACTGTTTACTCAACGTAAAGTCTGAACTACTTCATTTCAGTTTGATATATTAGCCCCTCGGTCAAGGAACTGCCGTTGTCCCCGTATAGGCATGTATCGTCTCATCCGCGCATCCTGCAGGAGTCTCATAAGCGTATGGCCCAAGGTTGATATAAAGAAGGAGGTTGTTGTTTGCGTCTGGGCAGACTAGCCAAGCCTATAAAACAACGTTTCCAGGCTGACAAAATTCTGGCGAACAATTCATCACTCACGTTGTCCTGAGGTCTCGTGGTCGTTGGGATTGACCACTCAAGGCTGTCTCCGTTAAATACGAACGTCCCAGCGTTGCTCCCTGATGCGGGCGCCGTAGACCACGACATTCCCAGTTTCATCACAGTAGAGTTGGCTCGTCCCTCGACTATTGCATACAGTGGTGTTGTCCCAGCATTTTGAATCAGTTGTCCGTTAACAACTTGAAACTGGCCTGCAGTATCTGGGTCTCCCAGTGCAGCTATTGAAGTAGTGTTAGCAACTTCTGACTGAAGATATTTGTGGAAGTTGGGTTCTTCCTGTATTCAATGAAAAGAGCTACATCAATTCCCCCCGCGGTTGAAGTCAGGTCGACATGGAAAACTACCTACCACAGATCGGATCCAGGAATATCCGGTTTGCAAAGTGGCTGTTCCGCTTGCAGCTGAGGTCGTGGGGGTTGGCGTGGAAGCACCGGACCCTCCTTTAGGATCTGTAGTAGTTGGCGAAGACGACCCAGTCAGGCACTGGGAATAATAATCGCTAGAGGCAATACACGTCCACCCAGATGCGCAAGCCGTAGATTCAGTCCAGCCAATACCACCACACTGTATGGAGTGTCAGATCCGTTTCAAGATTACATCCATGAAGACTCATCGCATACCTGGCCGTAGTTAGGGGCTGCTGACTGCGCTGCTGCGTTTTGGGCAAAGATCACCAGCAAACCGATCCACAACGAAAATCGACTCATGCTCGCAATTGTTGTAAGGCACCCCAAAGATATCGATGATTTATAGTGTTCAGCTACCCAGTTATTTGACAACAAATGCCGAACAACAGCCTATTCCTCGGGTGAGTAATGGCGTTGCACTCTTAATTCAGTTCTGGGCAGCGGAGCATCTTCGGTTAGAGGAATTGACAGACATGTTTGTTATGATGCGTGATAATGACGCATTTATCTACAGGTGAGCAACGCCAGCGGCGAATTGAGGCTTGATTTTTCTCGTGACGGTTGTAACAGTAAAAATGTTCCGAGGCTTAAAAGTTTAAGATCAATGCTAGTGCAAAATTAATCGTGTTTCTAATGTTCAAAGTACCAAGCTTATTCGTACAGTATGGAGACAACGTTACGGAGCGCGAATACCAGTCCAAAATAGAAGATACAGATACAGTTCAGTCAATTTAGTTTTAGCGACATCGAACGAAGAGCCTGAATACTACTCAATTCCCCCCTTCAACCTCCTGCTTCATCGGTTTATCTTGATCGTTGTGCGAGTCGACTAGCACGTGCGATGCTTCGGAACTATCGCTGTCGTCAGCCTTGGTGTTCATCGCGGCTTGAGAGAAGTGCTGCTTAGTTTCTACGGCCCACTCTGATATACCGGCACGCCCATCAAAACGGACAAGTACACCAAGCCTAAAGACTAGGTATACGGAGATTAACAGCGCGGTCAGCAAAGAGGAAGCTATCCCTAAGGTAATCAAGACGGATGCCAGGACTCCGACTGTAAACAAGTTAGTCACTTGGGAATGAACCCCAACATCTGATGATTCATGAAACACATACCGAGAACTGTCAGAATGGCAGCGGCGACGAATATCCCGGAAAATACGATCAAACAGATGGAAGAAGCTATAATGAAGAGAGAGAAACCACTGCATATGCGGAGTGTCAGAGTTAGACAGAGTCTTTAACGTAGTTTAAAAGAGAACGTACATGGATAATGCTACTGGAAGGAAGCTCATGAGACCGAACACCGTGAAGAATGTCTATAGCATATTTTCGGTTAGACCAGCAGGATAGCTTAGGAGATACATGTGAAGCTCACGGTCTGGATAGGATACGTATGGAAAGCATGCATAAATCTCTCAAGTATAGGTCTGACATAGCTATTTTCCACCCTGGATGTGTAACATGAGTGTGAAAACGCCAACCATGAAGTATTGAGCGAAGCATACGTGTCGCAGTACTGCCTGACAGTGCTGGCACTTTTATCAAATTGATTCGCAAGATTTCCTTGCTTCTGTTTGATATCTGGCTGATATTCTGCACCCATTTTTTTCGGACGGGATTGGTTTGTGTAGGAGAACGTTAGCAAGCGACGACCCGGAATGACGTGCGCCATCTCTGTTTCCTCACGTGGCTGCCGAAATCCGATTCCTTACAGACCTGATCCTAGTCGGCACGCCTCTTCCAAGTTACTCCTTCGATCACAAAACAAAACGGTTTGGCGATATCGTCGTTCTCTGGGGTATCGCGATGAGCGGGCGTAAGCTCAACCCGCAGGAGCTCAAGCTCCATCAGGCAGCCCTCTCGAATACAGACAAGGTCAGTCCAAGTTCTCTGATTAGATATAGTTTTGTCCTTCGCTATTTGCGTGTCAACTCACTCGTTCTCGATAGATGCTTACATCCAAAGAAGCGGAAAAGTTGGTTCCAGATGCAGGTGCTCGGACAGCAGCTGTTAACTTCTTGCTCGGAACGGTTGGTATTCTGATCATGTAGTGCCGACCATATTGGTACTGATGGACATGGCAGGGTATGTTGAAGGTGCTATCGAATTCAGCAGGGGTGATATCATTTAGGGCGGTGATGAAGAAGGAAATCGAGGTGTATGTGATAGATATCCAAATCTTTCTGAATTGTTAGTCATTTCTCACTTTCACAGGAAAAAAGATATGACGGGGGAGGAGGCCATGGTCCTGAGTCACATACAAGTTTCTGCAAATGAAGGTATGAATATATGACCTGATTATGGCCTGATATGTTTCATTGATGGTTATTAATTACAGGAATATGGACAAAACACCTTAAAGCTAAGACAGAACTGCACCAGACTGTCATCGACCGATGCCTCAAGTCTCTTGTTCAGAAGCAGCTTGTCAAATCTATCAAGGCCGTACGGGTTAGTATTAGAGCTTATTAAACCGTTGTCGGTCTCTGATACTAATAATTTCCGTCCAGCATCCAACGCGCAAGATCTATATGTTAGCCCATCTAGAACCGTCGGTTGAATTAACCGGAGGCCCATGGTATACAGACAACGAACTAGATACAGAATTCATCAAACTACTCTCTACTGCATGCCTCCATTACATCAGGGATCGGGTACGTGACTATAGCTACTAAACTTCATACTTTTACTAACCTCGACCTTGTATTTTTACTATAGAGTTTCCCGAAATCGAAGAAAGATCGCTCCGCTCAAGATCAGCCACTCTATGCCATCGGCGCAGCCCCAGCATACCCGAATGCCTTACAAATCCAACATTTCTTGAGCAAGAGTAAGATAACCGAGACGCAACTGAACGTCGAGCATGTGGAGATGCTCCTGAATGTCCTCGTTCTGGACGGGGAAGTAGAGAAGGTCAGCCGTCTCACAGGAACGAAAAAAATTGCCTTCCCTCCACTTACAATTACAATTTTCATCTATATAGATACCTGCTTTTGGTGCTGGAATGTGGGATGCGAATGTGGATGAAGATGAAGACGAGAACAGTGGTAGCAGTAGTGAGGATGAACGTGCTAAAAAGCGGAAGAGGAAGTCGTCAGAAAAGAAATCTCGAAAACGCAAGCGGAAGAGAAAAGATGATACAGAATCAGATTCTGATTCTGAGAAAGAATCGAGTGGTGACGAACGGCCAAAGAAGAAGTCCAAAAAACGAGGGAAGGTGGAGGCTAATGAAGACAGCGATGAGGACGATACGCGAGAGAAGAAGAAGAAAAAGAAACGAAAGGCGAAAGAGGATAGCGACGATTCTGACGACGACTCGGATGATTCTGATGCAAAACGGAGCAAGAAGAAAAAGAAAAAGAAAAGCCGTAAAAAGGCTGTCTCTTCTGAGGATGAGTCGGACACTGCATCCTCCGAGTCAGAACAGGATACTCGGCGCCGTTCGTCTAAGAGCAAAAGCACACGTAAACGCTCTGCCACGCCTCAGTATGATCTCAATGCAGGCAACAGTGGGGGGGCGTTTTCATATCGTGCAGTACGACAAGAACGTGTTGCCCTGGGATGGTCGCAGGCACCGTGTGGAAGCTGTCCCGTTTTCGACTTTTGTAAAGAGAAAGGGCCCACGAACCCACAGGAATGCACGTACTATGAAGAGTGGCTAAGAAATGCAGCTATCGCGATCGAATAGTCATAGTAGCACCAGTCTCATTGCCACACGTCGGGAGTCATCTTGTCTATTTGTTTTACGATGCACATCATGGACGTGGACGTTTGATGTACTCAAAGCTAAGCTGTCCTTTGTTATAATTTTAGACAAATCTAAGCTCGGTCGTAGAAATCGCAATTCTAAGAGTATTGGCAACTTACACGTTAACACTCATGTAAAACCGATTACTAGAGGAAATATAACCAGTCGTAGTTACTGCAAGTTGCTGGTCATGGAAAACGGCTGCCTTGATTGTGGACTCTGGCATACCGCCACTATACACGTTCCCCTTTCGTGCAAAGATCCACTCAAGTCTCGTTCAAGTCCAATCTTCAACACTCCTTAAGCAACTTGAATGCATTGGGACTGCTTAACAGCTTGGGTTCGTGGGCCGTATACAATTGTCGGCGCGGTTGGAGACGGAATCGATCGATGATTTAAGTTCAAGTTATTTTCGAGTTATATACTAACATAGAGCCACCACAATAAATGCAATTACGTACTCAATTTCACTAGGGGAAAACACTCGTACAACAAGATATGCGGAATAGTTACAGTACTAATACATTTGTCATTTCGGTCAATCATCTGATGGTGCCGTTCCACTGCAGTATCAGAAACGGGCAGCAGCTGCCATAAACAAAACACTGACCTTTAGACGTTTCTCATACTTGATTGACATTGAACCGTAATACGGCCAAGTTAGTATCGTCTGCACTCCTATCCGGAACGGACGCAAACGCGCCAGTGGTAATGAAAAGGAGGGGAACAGCCACAACGTCCCATAGTGTGACGACAGACCATGGCTGCCTTCCTTCCCAAATCATACGCTGTACGCGCAGCTCATGCACAAGGTCCTTCCTGATCGCCTTGATTCCCTTCGTCTGCTCGGGCGTTGGCTCGCTGTTGCCAGTGACAAAGAAGTCACCGACGACGATGTACCCCTCTGGGGCAGTGCCGCGCCATGTGGAGAAGGGGGGCGGAGGCTCGGGCTCGTTGTTAGGCCCCACTTTCTTCCATCCGACGACGTCGGCGAGGGCGGATGCATCGAGCGCTTTCACGATCAACCCGTTTTGATCAGCGACCGAGTCACTAGTGGCTACAGGCCCAAGGTAGTAGTAATCAGGGGGAACTATTGGGGAAATAACATCGGTCAATTAGATTACGCATTATGCTGGAGAGAAGTGAAACAAACGGTCTGGTTTGAAGGAGGTGCAATCACGGTACGACGCGATGGGGATGTCAAATTTGACTTGTTTATAATCAAGAGACATTGTGGTGGTGATAAATGCTGGTAAAGAAGAGAGGTGTGGATGCTGGCTGTTATATACATTTCACTCGACCACAGAAAGAACCAATATAAATAACGTCCGCGTGACCCCTTGACGTCTAGCATATCATCTGATGGACCAAACGACATGCCAGGTTCTAGCTCAGGTCAGGAGAGCAAGAGGTGTTATAGAAGACATGTTGTAGATTTCCACAATGAGCATTGGAACATGCTGGAAGACGCTGAACCGAACAATAGTCAAGGGTCCGAAGAATGTTGTCGAAGGACAGGGGCTAGTCCTTAGATCATGAGGCAGACACGTTCGATTGCAGACAAATCAAATACAACTACGAGCAAATTGCCCTGGAGAACAACAAGAATCTGGACCATCCTCCCTTGCTTGTGACAAGGGGTCTTTTTCGGGAAATCACTAGATTTGCAAGTACAATGTGAAGGAGCTGTTCCGCTTCCATTGCACGATGTTCGGTACCAAGTGTAGGAGCCGTTCCACTTCCATTACATGATGCCCGGTGCAAGTGCAGGAGCTGCTCCACTCCCATCGCATGATGTCCGATTACCAATGGGCGGCTATGGAATCCAAAATCTGATGTTTTAATAGCACTATACCTTGCCAGATCATACAGCGACGTAAACCGTCTCCAGCATGACTAGTTCAGAGTCCTCGGTGACTTACAGTTGCACAGTTGAGCAGCATCCAAGACACCACCGGCGGACAACAGGGGTGAATAGGAGTTTAGTTTCGAGGATAAGTGGAACCTTGGAGACCCGAAAAGATAAAGAAGCCAAGGACGACTGTTCAGGGGTTATAAACCTGGACAGACCAAACCGATATAGCCGTCTGCTACGGCCGGGAGAAAGTAATAACGCCAGTGGAGCGTGAATGGAAAACTTGTTCAAATATACTCTCTATGGCTAGGTGGAGCAAAGGTGCACCATAAACAAATCTCGACCAGACGGGAGATCAGCGCTGTGGAATAGAACCTTCATTCAAGATAGTTCTTGTACAAAACAGATAACAACTCACCTTGACTTGTTGCGGACATTTCCGAAGACTACGTTACATGTGTAACGGCAGCATATAATCCAGCGAAACTGTCTGGGCATGTAGAGAGAATATCTGCCAAATTGAGGAGTAGAACCAGACATCTTCTATAAACTTGTCCATAAATACTATACTCCCTACGGCTCGGTGGGGAAAAGGTGTACTATAAATGAATCTCGACCAAACGGGAGATCAGGGCTGTGAGATGCTTCGAACCTTCATTCAAGATAGCTCTTTGTACAAAATAAACAACAACTCACCTTTACTTATTCCGGACATTTCCGAAGACTCTACATATAATCCAGTGAAACTGTCTGGGCATATAGAGGGAATATCCAAACGAGAGATAGAACCAGACATCTTCTATAACAGCTCGAGATCTATTGCGAAAGAGTTCAGCTAATCTAGAACGTTTTCAAATATTAGGAGCGCCTGATATTCAGAGGAAAATTCGGCGTGAAGATGAAATAGAACCCACTGAGCTCTCTGAGCTCTGTGGTGAGATATTGGAATGAATAAGAGACATCATGATGGTGACTGATGATGCGGCATGGCGGGGACATATTGTGAGATGTCCATGGTCTCGTTTTGCGAGACTCGTTGTCAAACGACCTAGCCATCTTACTTGACAAATAAACTAGTCTTTATCTGCACATACGTTAGCGATATTCACCTAAATCATCGGCGATACTCACAACGCACCACTCTAATAAGTAGTTGTGCATTGTGGGCTGCCAGGATTTAGGACTGATTCAGAGCTCAAAATCCTTCGTCCGTACGTCTGACAGTCATCAAAGAATTGAGTAAGGTTTTCCCCATCCAGGACATCTTTGCGTTAGCTTACAAAGGATCATAACAATCATATAATAAGGACTGAAATGGGCGAACGAGGTTTCATAGTTTAGCACATGGCTTCACCGACGAAGAAAGTACTTTGATAAGGCCTTCCCGCATATCTGTGCCGATAGGTGTGCTTTTCCTCGAGTTGCTCTTGACGAAAACATGCGTATATCCTCCGACGGCAGCTGGAGAATCTTTTCCTTCCTCGAACACTCCTACTTCATATGTTACCGAGCTCTTTCCAAGACTTTTAACTCTCAAGCCCAAGTTAAGGACCTGCGGGAACGAAAGAGGAGCAAAAAACTACAGGATTTGAGTATTTGTCGGTACAAGTCTACGATTACGAGAAATGATACATTAGCTATGCTCACCTGACAATGTGATGAAACGACCAGTCCAATCTGTGTAGATTGTGAAGGAGAAAGGCCACAGTGCTGAATCAAATATGCATTCACGATTGAATCGAACAAATGATAATAAACTGAATTGTTGATGTGTGAATATTGGTCATTATCGCTCCTTGAGGTGGAGGAAACGCGGCTGAGCCTACGAATGTCCAGTATGACATGAGAGAAAGAGCTAACCAGCGAGTTCTGTAGGACAGAAAGTACCCATAATCAGCACGCTTTCTATGTTTTGACTCTTGTTCGTCCAAACTCCTAGCCATGGCTGTATGATACTAGTAAGAAATGTAGCAATTCCCTAGTTGGGACTTAGACTCGGATGCTTCCGGTATGCACTACACCACGGGCATGGAAAGATAATAAATAGACAAGCCTTACCGGTAGGGTGGTGATTCATGCACAAACATCATCATTTCGTCCGTTTTGGTGGCCTGGCTGGGTCACTTGAAATATTATTAATATATAATTTGTGACAAAAGTTTTGAGTAATAACTGAGATGGTTTGTGACCAGTTTTAGGTTGACATGCTGCTGGTCTTTTGAAAACTAGGTTCGTATTGGCTGGGCTAGTCTCCCTTGCTGACCTAATTCAATATATTGATGATAGTCGATCGATATCTTGTAAATAAGGTCTGCTTCAAAATAACGGTGGCGTGCAGAGTGCCCCCCTTCGGTGTCAATACAGCAAAAACACTAGACTATTGGCTGGGCTGCTGGCAGCCTAAAACTGGCCATAAACCATCTCAGCTGTCACTCAAAAAATTCGTTAAAATATAGTCGATATACCACAAAGTAATATATTAAAAATATTTCAAGTGACCCAGCCAGGCCACCAAAACGGACGAAATGATGATGTTTGTTACGGTGGATGATTGGTTACGGTTCAACTTTCGAGCCCGGCCAATGTCCGGCATAATATTTTTCAAAATCCGATGTACCTTCAGCTATTATATTTGTATTTAGCAAAATTCGAGCAAGGCCTTTGATGGGCGATCAACGAAAATACATTTTAATTAATTTCTTTGATCCAGCGAGTGTGATTTGGGCAAAAGCCAGTGTGATGAGAGATCGAGCGAGCGTGCAATTCAATATGTCAACATAGGATTTCAAGCGTCCAAATACATCAAGAAATTACAAGTATTACACATATACTGACAACCCCTCTCCTCAAGGTAAGATCTCCACCTCACCCGCTTCGATTGTGTTCTGCATGGCTGTGATACCGGCGGAAATAGAAGGACAGCGAGTAAAAACGGCGCGGCTGACAGCGATAACGAGAGGAGAGGTAGACTGCCTGAGAAAATAGAGATGAGACAGTTTCGAAGTCGACGAGTCAAAGGTCACTTACCACGCAGCAAAGATACCAATTCTACGTCCTCTGGTGACCAAATAGAAGGGACCAGCTGTCCCAGCATCAGGAACCTCATAAACCTGGCCGAGGTATGTGCGAGTGATAGCCTGTGAGACATTTGGCACATTACCTCCAGGTGGAGCGGCAGGGGTAGCGAGTGAGCCAAGTGCTGTGGTGAAAAGAGGAGAGCTGGTGGTGATCGGAGAAACTGTCGCATAAGCACTGGCACCCAAAGCAGGAGTAAGCGGAGAAGCGGCGGCACCCAAAGCAGGAGTGCGTGAAGAAGCAGCAGCTGAAGGACCAGATACCACAGTAGAGCTGGCGGCAAGCGACCCTTGAACTATTGAGGAAGATGGGGAAGAGCTGGTGTATATGGGACTTGATGGAGTTGAAGGGCGGGCACTGCCAAGAACAGCGGACATCATGAGCATAGCGTTGCTCCTACTCAAGGTTACGGATGAGAGGAGAGAAAGGAGGATGTCTGGAGGTACACGTAAGTTAGTGCAATAATCAGAAACATGAGAAGGCCTTACTCATAGTTTCTTCCTCGTCGCTGAGGCAATCTTCACTCACGGAGCGTTCAGGCTGCTTGGAAGAGTTTGAACGACCAGGGGGAGGAGATTGAGTCATTGCAATTTGGAAGGAGGAGGTAAGTATGTCTGGATGATAATTGTGAACTCACCCGTACCTTTTATAGCTGTTTGCTTGAGGCAGCATAGACTTACAGCCCATAGTTGACAATTATTGAGATCTACAAACACGGCAGTCTGACAGAGTTGCAGAATTTTCATGCGTGAGAACAATAGCTAAGGTCCAACAAATCAACATCACGTGTGTACTTCACGATCTCGGAATAATCAGCTGTTCAGACAGCACTGTAAATCTTTTCATGCAATTCTGGCGACACATTCTTGAAGAGCTTCGCGTCAACCACATGCTCACGCCAATACAGTAATGCACAGTCAGTTCCAGCTCTTTCTTGTGGTCATATGTCTCATATTAGCCCGCACTAACCAAATGATTCAACGCAAAGCCAAAACAATGGTCTCCGCCGACGCACAATGGAATCCCATTGTACTCACATGCTTGGAAGATCAAGGAGATCTCAAAGAGACTGGAAGGTACAATTCCCATATTAAATTACAAATAAACTCGGTGTGAGTTGCTCCTTACAGCATCTGCACAGTTGTGCATTCCAGAACTCAAGTTCTCGGGCCCAAAGCATGATTCCATAGAAACATTCATTGTTGTATTTAGCTATTCTATGTACAATACAATGATTTGATATCCAAAGTGCATTTCAAGAAAACAAGAAAGACCAGAACACATACTAAAAGGCCTAAGCTAATCCGAGTCGTCTGTCCACTCATACTCAAAATCTGTATCAGCTTCGTCAGATGAGTAGCCCCCGGTGTTCTGTGGTGCATCTCCTACAACGCGCCTCCGTTGCCGGTGGGGTGGAAGCTCCATGACTGGCATGAATTCGGACTCATCCTCCTCATTAGAGTTCACTGAAAGGGCCATCACAGTACGCAACTCCATGTTGTTTGGCTGATCTCGGAACTGCTGGAGTAAGTGTAAATAGATGTCCCATATGTTTTCTCGGCCAACTTGAGGGTAGTTGGCAGCATCCCAGAATGTGCGTGCCTGTAACGAAAAGGCCGGCGGGACCAGATGAAAAACAGGGTGATCGGGTGGTGCATACTTGTCTCGCACTTCTGTTAGATACGGCGGATGCACCTTAACCTGTAGATGTATGTATTATAAGTATATGACAAAGTGGAAATGATACTATGAACTTACAGCAAAATCGCGTGACTCAAAAAGCTCCGGGTTCTTGAAGATATCTACAGGGCGTCCATGAGGTAGTAACTTGTGTGAGTTTCGTCGGGGCTTTGAACCGTTGAACCTCTCAATGAAGCAGTTGAGTTCTTGTTGTATCCAGGGGATAAATACATAGTGGAAGACTAGTCTACAGGTTTGTGTCAGTTGTGGCCGCTTTGCTTAGGTAAATGGATATACGCAACCGTTGAAGAGCATCGTCAGCATCATAAAGGCCCTCGTTGACCCCCCAGTCAAGGAGAGCCTCAAATCCCGGCGCCCAACGTCTTCGAAATTGGCCCCAAAAGATCTCAGGCTTAATGTTCCGGTGAGATCCTTTGAACGTATGTTGCAGGGTCTTGTCTAAAGCCGGGTCTTGCATATGACGAAGTAATGTATGGCCGTTTGCGATACCATTGTTTTCAGTGCCGGGGTCACTTTGTGTGATTAGAGGCATCCCTAGTATAAGTCAGCAATTGGCAGCCAAGCAGTTGAAACACCGGAGAAAGAGACTCACCACCCAATCTCTCCACGACATCACAATACCATCCACATATCAGACGCGGATTATGGTTAGTCCACCAGACTTTGAGCCAGAGTACATAGCCGGAGAAGGGCTCGAGTCCAACGTGAAAAAAAAGCTGAAAGCGTCTCCACTTATCATGCTGGTCAAAACACCACAGTTCATTGACACCTGCTGTCCAGAAATAACTACGCTTCAGCCGGCGTTTTCGACGTCCTTTTACTTCGTCTGGATGGTGTAGATTCATGTAGTCTAGTATTACCTGCCTAGTATACTAACGTCCTTGTGACTGCCACTGTGTGAAAAGTGAAACAACTTACCGAGGCACCATCACCCTTTCCTCTTGTCGCAAAGTCACTCTCATATCGTGTGACCCCTGGTGAGGGAACCGCTCACGAACACGTTCAATGGTAGGCCCCACACTATCAACTGAGTGTGCCTGGCCCCGAGCACTCTTCAAGCCCCAAACCATCCGTTTTTTCTTCAGTAAAGCGAGACTATAGTTAATCAAATGTGTCAGTGTATTGTAGTATTACAGCTAGAAGGCTTACGAAAATGAGTAGCGGTCCGTGTCATAGTAGTCCTTGAGTTTAGTGACAATTTCTGGATTTGTGTATCCATCTGCGACGAATTGTTCCACCAATGGTCGGATTAAAATGTCTGGAGCTGTGAGAAAAGGACAGAAAGTGAGCATTACACCCTTGGAGTGTCGTTTATGCAAGCCTACCAGGGGATACCTTATACCCATTGGTACCTTGAGGGTTAGGCATGGCCTGCAGGGCGTTGACAGTCCTGGATAGTGTTAGCACTTGGCTGATGCACGTGGGGCACTGCAATTTGAACACTCACCTATAGGATGCACAGTCCAATAGTACACTTCCTATTTGATCCACAGCCTGTTCAGTGTAAGCAGTGGAGTCAGTTCTTCAAGTGATCCTATGGGCAGAAAGGATATGGAAGATCCGCTCAATAGACACTTGGATACGCACTTCAGACAAAACCGTAAGGCTAATCAGATCGTGTTTGCACGCAATTCATTTAACCGGTGCCTGCCTCTTCCTCATTTGTTTTCACTGACATTATCTCCGCGAAGATCTCCCATCTCCTCATGTCAATTTGCAATCACCAGCTTTGACATATCCATATTGATCCTTGTCCGCGTGTTGTTCGAGGATGGCCCATTGGTGAGTCGCCAGCCACTCAGATTGGCAAAGTCCTCATTGTTATCTTTGTGCCGAGGAGTTCTCAAATTTGACTCGACTCGACCCGAATCCATTCGGACTACAACTCATCTTCAAGGATCCATATAAACTACACCAGGAATGGGGGGAGAACAGTAAGTAAATTAGCCGCCATGGACTTCACACCCACTATCGAAGGCCCACCAACTAAAAGTTGTCATCGTTGTCGTACAGAATTTGATAAGTCTGTCCGGTTCTTGTATATCAAGGGTAGGGATGGGACCGGTCGCCACTGCTGTTCAGATTGCGTCGAGCATTATCAGCGCAAGCGTGCGGAAACTGGAGAACGTCATGGTCATAGTACCAGTGCAATATCTGGTGAAATTGTCGGTATGTCTGATTGTCTTCTGTAATTCAATGTATATGTTAAGGATCAAATCTAGATTTCACGAAAGTGGCTTCCCGGGCACATGGTGTTGATGCCGACTCGCGCCAGGCTCTTGTCAAGGCTTCTTCGGCCGCACAACGTGGCGGTGAGTAAAATTTCCAGCTCACCTGTGCGTGTTCAAGTTACTTACCAAACACACATTATGAAATCCCAGAACAGTCATTCCCTAGGCAGCATATTGGGGTGGGACATGCTACATCTAGCGTTATGCCTCCCCCTCTTATCCCCTCGTCTGCTAGTGTCAGTGCTGATAGCGTCTCCCAAGCCATAGGATATACTCAGAACCATGCATTCCACGCCCACCACCGCACGAAAATGCTAGCATCAACAGTAGCTCCTCAACGTCAAGTCACAATCCGGATAGCTCTCCATCATGTGAAGGACGAAGGAAAATCTGGAACAGAGCTGGTTGGGGTGAGTCTTTGGGTACTTCAATATTTCAAGGATACTCACATGTACTATTATTTGAGAATATTGAACGAGACATTACAGTACCGCTCTCTATTAAATGTGGCCAACTACGCAACATAGTGATTGAACACCTGAAGCGTTTGTGGGTGGTCTGGTCTTGTGACCATCAGCTGGCACTCGAGTCTTTACAGATGCTGAAGGCTCCATTACTCCTCATTTACGACCCCGAAGAGCCTCATCAATACTCTGAGCGGCTGGTCCTTCACGATTTTTTCTTCCGCACATCAGCAAAGGACAACACGCCCAAGTTTTCACCAAACGTGAAAGTTCCCATCATTCTCTTGGTGTCAAAGGAGGAATTTGAAGATGTCTTGCTATGGAAGGAAGAAGATAGGCATGCCAAAGCACGCTCACGCAATGAAGAGGTTCAGAGCCCCGGAATATCGTCAGACGATGATGATATTGGTGGTCCGATGGACAAGGTTATACATTTTACTTACTTTTACTGCGCTATACTTACAGCAACTGGCCTTACTAGATATTCCTTGCAGCAACACGTGGTGGGAAACGAGCTAGAAAGACTCGTGTGCGAAAGGCGCCAGGCCAATCTTCCATCCCCGCACGTGAGTCGGTATCTGTGCGTTCAAAAGCACCAGTGTCAGAGGAGGTATGCCAATGGCCCTCACATTATTGGAGACGATACTTACCACATGTAGGGTGAATATGACAGTCGTAGTAACAATACACGCAGCACAGCATCAATGTCAAGCCTATTCCACAGCAAACACTCCATCAAGACGTCTGAACTACGCCCCCTCACTCCCTCAAGCTCTAGCAGCCAATCACTGCCCTCAAGACTTTTCTCCAAGGCTGCTACTAATCCCAATATCCCGCCATTCAGCATGCCTGACAAGGCAGTTCTTGAGCGTGTCATGAAGGCACAAGGAGATGTTCGACGCCTAGCAAAGCCGATATGTAAGTCAACCTATATTTCTATCTAAAACATCTATTAACGTGCTAGTGAAGTAAATACGGACATAGGAATCTATGTCCTGTTCCTCGTCCCTTCGATCCCATTCACTGAGCTTCTAAAGAAGCGGGTCCCTTTCGATGTCATGAGCAAGGTCAATTGCCCTCTAGTCACTTTAACAGTTGACTGCAGCTCAAAAGCAATGCTGGGGCCAGCCGGTAGCTTCAAGACATGCCACCCAGCGTCATATGATCTAACTGAAGCTCTGCCAGCAGAGGAAAATATTCTACAGGTAGAGGCTATAGTAGCAAAACGTTGCTTTTACAGAGAAACAGTACAGGGAGCCGAAAAGAGTGGTACACCATCAAGTCCTTCAGGCGGGCGCAAACGACTGGCCATCAAGGATGAGCTAATGAAGATGCTCGACGAGGCTAACTGCCTTTACTGGGCAACAAGCCTGTTGGCTTTAGTTTATAACTTCGTCGACGACAAGCTTATTCGAAGGCCCCTTGACTGTCCTCCCCCGGCAATCCCCCGACTTCGAGTCGTCCACGCCGCTTTGGCCATCCCCCAAGACAGCAGAGAGTTGCGTAATGCCGTTTATCTTCTCGAGGAGAAGATAAACGGTAACTTCGTGAAGTATATCAATAACAATAGTGCAGCTCCTCGGCACAAACTTGCTCCGCCTGAACTGGAGATTGCAACCTTCCTATGCTTCGCACAACACACTCAATATCATTTCTCGCAAGGCCTTGTGTTCATCTCAGATTTTCAAGGTAAGTTAATATAAGCTAGTCTCTTTTGCTTTCCTTTTCGTACTTACATTTGACTTGTCAGGGTCCGGTGGAATATTGACTGACTGCCAGGTTATCACTACCAAGTAAGGCTCTATTACCTCCATGTGGTTGGTTCTCATCCTTTCCCAGAGACTTTGCCGATAATTTTGGCGAAGGAAACTGGACGGCGACGTTAGACAACTTCCCCTTGTTGCACAAATGCAACCAGTATTGTGTATATTTCGGACTCCCTTCCTTGCAGACAGCAGTATGTTTTCTTTTTCTGATGGATCCTTTCTACTACATCTCATGTCACCTCTTTTTTCACAGAGTTCGGCTACAAAGATGAGAACATCACAAGAGATTGACATCATGTCCAGTCGTGTTCGTGGCTGAGAGGGATTTTTTTTTACATGACATGTACTTACTGTATCGCTTGAAATCCTATGTTGACATGTTGAATTGCACGCTCGCTCGATCTCTCATCACACTGGCTTTTGCCCAAATCACACTCGCTGGATCAAAGAAATTAATTAAAATGTATTTTCGTTGATCGCCCATCAAAGGCCTTGCTCGAATTTTGCTAAATACAAATATAATAGCTGAAGGTACATCGGATTTTGAAAAATATTATGCCGGACATTGGCCGGGCTCGAAAGTTGAGCCGTAACCAATCATCCACCGTAGTTTGTGCATGAATCACCACCCTATAGGCCTACCGGCTTGTCTGTTAGTTATCCTTCCATGCCCGCGGTGACTAGTAATAAGAATGACAGCTCATAGGCTATCAAAGTGGTTATTGATCACTGCGAAGTAATTATATACAAAATCAAAATCGTTTTGATCCCTTGCTCCGACTACTGACATTATTGATACACTCATCTTGAGGCTCGATAGACTCTGACTTTGTATCAGCGCTATATCGGCCGTCATAGTAATATCATTGACATGCCAGGTTGCTGCGTCGGAATGGTAACCAAATAATCAGATCCTCCTGTACACCTTAAAGCGCTGACAAAGCGGAGCCTTCAATCCTACACATAACCATGACCTCCCCTCTGCGTGCCCTCCTTAAAATCATATCTGATTCAGTGGATGCAATCGAACGTAGTTGTGAAGAGCGGGGTGCTGTTTTTCCGTCCCTCGATGATGCATATTCACCAGAGAAAGAAAGAGCGGTGCAAGGTGCTGCAGTGGAACAGGCGGCCACTCTGATCACTTCCGCTGCCTACCAGCTGATTGCAGCAGTTCAACAACCACAGACCTCAATATTCGCCGCAATGGGCTCGGTATATATATTGCTTCCTTTAAGGTCTCCGCAAACGTTGATCATAACTCCAGTATTATCTTCCTGTAAGTCTCAGAGCAGCGATAGAAACCAATACAGTCGAAATTCTTCGTGAAGCTGGGCCGCAAGTAAGTCTGATGATATTATGATCGATGTTTCTGATCTAGTCTCATATCGTGTTTGTATGTGTGCCATAGGGACTACACGTCAAGGATATCGCAAGTAAGGCCAACGTTGACTCTACTAAACTCTGTAAGCACAATGTCAATCTGTGATATCCTTAATTGAAGATATATCTGCGGTCGCATCATCCAGCGCGATTTTTGCGGTATCTTGCCACGTACCATATCTTCAAGGAGGTTGCACCAGATGTCTTTGTCAACAATCGCTTGTCATCTGTCTGCGATACGGGGAAGTCTGTCTCAGAGCTATTCGAAAAGTTAGTTCTCCCTTCAGTTTAAATACTTCAAAGATCTCAATTGAGGATAAATACGATTGCGGCAGGCCTCTGGAAAAGCACCATGGTACTAACGGATTATCAGCACTGATCGGTCATTGGTGTGCCTTCCTCTTTTGTAGTGCTTCGCTCATTTATTGACCAATTTGCTGCATGTTGAAAATAGCACAGACGAAGACTACAAAGGTGCAGGATATGCTGTTGAACATTTACAGGATTCAAAGACAGCTTTCGACGACGGACCTATTAATACCCCTATGATGCGAGCATTTAATTATGATAAGGGAGTCTGGTCTTGGTTCGAACAACCATTCAACACCTTGCGATTCAAGCGATTCGGTGTTGCTATGGATGGTGTCAACAGCGTTCAACCAGTAGAATCCATCCTTAAAGGTTCGTAACACCCCACCAGTCACTGCAGAGATATATTAAAGGGAGGACATTGTTAGGTTTTGCTTGGGACTCATTAGTGCCTGGAGATGTAGTAGTGGATGTCGGCGGAGGGATAGGGGTTTCGAGTCTGACTTTGGCAAAGAATTACCCTAATTTGAAGTACATCGTGCAAGATAGGCCCTCGGTAGTTGTAGAAGGCCAGAAGGTACGTTTTGCATAGCTTATTAGTCCTTCAAAGCACGTTCAACACTTCCCCTCTGGTAGCATTGCGAGCAGATATTTCCAGAAGCGCTGAAAACTGGGTGTATCGAATATCAGTGTGAGACCATCCATGCCTTCTTGCTTCGCGATAAAAGTTTCCTGACAATGAGCACACTATCACTATACAGCACATGACTTTTTTGACGTACAGCCCAGGAACGATGTGAAAGTCTTTGTGCTCAAGCAAATCATGCACGACTGGTCCGACGAATATATCACCCGCATTCTTCGACGTCTTCGTGCTGCTGCAAGTTCGGAGACGAAGCTACTGGTGATCGACAGCATAATACCATATTCGTGCCCGGACGAAACTACAGTCGGCGACTTCAAGTTTCGTTCTCCTCCTGAGCCTCTTCTCGCAAATATGGGGGCTGCTAATATCGCACCTTACATCGTTGATCTTTCGATGTACGTGCACTTCAATGCGATGGAGAGGACCTTGGTGCAGATTGTGAATCTGTTGAACGAGGCGGGTTGGAAGTTGGTTCAGGTGAACACTACAGATAACATAGGAAGTCACCTGCCTCATATGGTAGCCATACCAGTGTAGTCTTAAAATTGTGCTGCAGATCTCGTAAATTATCAACCTCCTCTCTGAGTAAAGAGTATGATATAATTTCACTGGATAAATTTTCCCTGGCCAATCCATGTTGTATGCTCGCTGAATTGCTCTGTTAGCCATTGCATAGGGACATCATAGAAGCTTGATGTGATAAGTTATGTTGTTTGTAGAATAGATAAAAAATCATTAATTAAACTCTGCCTTACCATTATCTTCGACGAACTAATCAGGACTGGACCAGGACCAGATGATTATAATATGTCTTGGACGAAGAGAGCATTAATAGGAACTAACGAAAATACTCAACTGATTTCCATACGCTCTCTCTCTTGCAGAGCGAATAATACAAACATAGAAACCTGGTCGCCTCCCACGAACATACTCGCACACCGATGCTTCGGGCGATTGTGATGCGAATGAGGTTACAGCGATCGCAGCCAAAGACCTAAAATAAGATAGCACTAATCGAATAATAATCTCAAAAGCCAATGCATGAATCATACAGCCAGCGATTCACCTTCAAACGGTCCCCATGTGCCCGTATAACTTAGGGGGTCTGGGTTAAACGTACTACATGAGCTTATGGAAGTAGCGTATCTCCCTATAGCTATGCATAGTGAACCTACCACATACATCTACACGAGTATTCGGAGGACATTAAGTAAACAAAAAAACTGAGGGTGATAGTTATCACCTTGGAGTTATGGACAGCTTGCACCTAGTGTGTCACCCACCACCTCTATCAGGAATGCTGTAGAATATAGAATAATGTTTCAGCATATGTTCTATGCCCGGCGAGAATTACATCCGATTACCTCGAAAGTGACAACACTCCCTTGCTTATCGGCAAAACGTGGTAGTTTCTGCGTGGCGTAAACGTCTAAACCCTCGGTCTGAGTATCCATTCACCGCGAAGAAAGAAAAATCATGTAGGTCACGACAAGTTCGGGTATTATGTCAAATTACATGCAGCGTAAGTCAGGGATCATAAAACGAGTTACAACAGCAGCCAGTCTTGTTGAGCATCATGATGAAGTTCGACAAGTCGCATATCTGTAAGTGAATTATTTTGATGAAACAACGTTAGGGAAAGTGCCACAGAAAGTCGTCTGTGCTTGACCAATCCAAAACAATGACGAAGCGCGTGACATCCTTATTCTTCAGCGGGACACCCCTAAAAAGAGCGTTCGTGTGAGTCAAGTAAGTACATTGCACGCCTGAAGGAAATGACCACTAACATGCTACAAAGTTCTTCATGTGGGAAAGCTCTTCGTAACCTCAGAACACAACAAAAATGCATGTCATATCTATGATTAGGTATTGTAGTCAAATGAAGTAGTAGTCCTTAAGATGGACGGTAACCTTGATGTTAATAATGTGTATTTCGATGTCGACCAGGAGTGATTGGGTCGGGAACGGGGACTGGGGATCGGTGCTTGGTGCAGACGGATGAAATGAGCATGATCGTCATAAGTCACAAACAAACCTCAGTTGCTCTCGACACTGGGATTGTATCCCAGAGTGACCATATGCATCAACTCATTCACCGGGGATAATCACTACCACAACAGAAATTGCGAACCTTTCTGCGGTCAACATAGGAAGATAGATTCGGGACCACTTACATTCACTGCCTTATATCCATCCTGCAAGGGCGGATATTCCAGAGGTGCTAACAGGGGCGAAACGTTGTTGGTACGACATGAAAGCATGTAGGAAACAGGCTGACATCGCTGATAGCCCAAAATTAAGAGAAGACCTTTTCTTAGAGGCATCCGCACTGTAAAGCAGGCGACGACGACCACATCGGCCGCTGCGGACATTGGATGAGTACGCAACACGTATACCATTTGCTTTCTTACCCAGGTGTCGAAGTGCGAGCAAAGCTTTGTGCTGTCCAGTGTTGCAGCTCAACCTCCAAACTCAAGTTGAGGAGTAAACGCAAGGATAAACGCCGTCAATGCTTCAGTTTAGCTGAATAGGGCTGATACGCCATAGGCATCTGTGTTTATGAGTTTACAACGCCGCCGTAGCACAATGGCAGTGCGTTGCCTTCCTATGATCTAGGCAAAGGTTGTGGGTTCGACCCCCATCGTCGGTAGAGGTTAACTTTTTGTCTAGTTTAGCCTCCTATTTTCTCAGCACACATTGTACCATTTTTAGTGCTTTATTTTAAGTTCTTGTCTCAGCAAAGTATAGGTGTTGTAAAGACTTTGAATATTTTTATCATGAGATTGATGCCATCCTTGGGCTGAAGACTGCTACAGCGATGGCCGTCGTGAGATATCAGAGATTGGGGTACTCGTGTTTCATGTCTTGGCGAACACGCTCCAAATGCATGCTGTGGAAACCTTCCTATCGATCATTTATTTGCTGCGCCGCATCGTTACAGCGACTGGAGGTTTACATACTCAAACTCACTGAAGACGCCATCACGATATCACGATAACATCAAATACAAGTCTCAGATCATCTTCTTGACGCGCGCTTTTTATTTTCTTGCCTCTTACCTTCCAACATGTCTTCATCTGTCGTAGATGCTGCCTTCCCTTTTGCATCGCTCAATCTTCCATCGCCAGAAGAATACAGAAAACGCAAAGTAGCACTTATCTCAGGTAATTTGCGTCCAGTGAACACGGTTTCTGTTTACCAATACATGCTTTGTGACTAGGGATAACCGGGCAGGATGGATCTTATCTGTAAGTTGTCCTAACACTCAGTCTAGACATTTAATCGATGTCCATCGCAGTACCGAACTTTTGCTCTCGAAGGGATATGAAGTACACGGAATAATTCGTCGCTCATCCAGTTTCAACACTGGTCGTCTGCAGCACCTCTATGCAGATGAACATGAACGTGAGTTTATTTCACTGTTCATCGCCTCTGTTCTCGATGATCTCATCGACCAAACCACAGGACCCATCAAATTGAAGATGCACTACGGTGATCTGAGCGATAGTACCAATCTCGTCTACATCATTGCCCAGGTGAAACCCTCAGAAATCTACAATCTCGGCGCCCAATCACACGTCAAAGTGTCTTTCGAGATGGCCGAATACACGGGAGATGTGGATGGTCTGGGAACGCTCCGTCTCCTCGACGCTATCCGTACTTGTGGTCTCGAAAAGCATATCCGTTTCTATCAGGCCTCTACATCTGAGCTCTATGGTAAAGTTGTTGAGACTCCTCAGAGCGAAACCACTCCTTTCTACCCTCGATCGCCCTACGGTGTTGCTAAGCTCTACGCATACTGGATCACGGTCAACTACAGAGAAGCGTACGGCATGTATGCGTGCAATGGTATCCTGTTTAATCATGAAAGTCCACGTCGAGGCAGGACTTTCGTCACGCGAAAAATTTCGCGCGCTGTCGCAGATATTTCCTTGGGCAAGCAGTCGTGCTTGTACCTCGGAAACATAGATGCTCAGCGTGATTGGGGACATGGTGAGCCTTTTCCGTCAAAGTGATACAGGGCATTCGGACTGATGAGTTGGGATAGCTCGCGATTACGTTGAAGGGATGTGGCGCATGTTGCAACAACCTGCACCCGAAGACTTTGTGTTGGCGACGGGTGAAACACATCCGGTACGTGAATACGTCGAAAAGGCATTTGGCGTACTCGACATCCAGATCCAGTTAGTAATCTCTTCGTGTTATATTGAAAGCCATTGTTGACTTGAAGTTCCTTTCGCTGTTCTTTAACATCGCTCGATCTTTTATCACATTACATTATTTCTTTCTAATCAGATGGAGAGGTACTGGCACTGACGAAGAAGGTGTTGATGTCAAGACTGGAAAGACTGTCGTCAAAGTTGATCCCAGATATTTCAGACCAGCTGAAGTAGAGTGCGTCTATCTACTATTCATATGTGATCAAGTTGACTTAGTTTCCTTGTCCCTTTTTATGTCCATTTCACTATCCCTATGGATACTTGCAGACTTCTGCTTGGGAACCCTGCTAAAGCTGAGCGCCTTCTTGGGTGGAAGCGCAAAGTCGATTTTGATTCCCTCGTAAAGGAGATGGTTGAGGCAGATCTTCTGGCTTCAAAGAGTCTTGTTGAGGACCAGAACTAAACATGCGATCCTTAATGGGTTGTCATCATAACTCCAGTCGCACGTTGATTGGAGCGAAAAGAGGGGCATATTCTCGACCGTTGTTACCTTTTTCTTGTTGTTGTCAGCTTCAGTGCCGACCTATTCCCCTGAAAGTAGTTGGTGTACGTATAAGTGATAAGATAATTCATGGATTTACAACTGTAGAACGACTGTCTGTTGAGATTTCTTCAAGGTAGTCGCTGAATGTTACTAGTATCGAACCACGGAGTACAAAATCAGGATGATTCATACAACACGCAATACAATTGGTCTACGAAATGTACTTCTTCATAAATCGATTTGGCTCGAAGACACCGTTAGTTGGTCTTCCCTGTCCTGGCATTGTTATAGTTCTGCAAGAACCATTGGACAGTTGAGTCGAGAGCTAGGGAAAATATGATGATACTGATGAGCGCATAGATTTGACAATCAAGATGAGGAGAGTACGGACCTTTGTCGAAAGGAGTAAACGTGAAACCTCCCATAAGCCCAAGAAGCTTGGCGTTTGATGCTGGCTTGCGGAATTGCCCATCTGCGCGAGTTGTATCGAACTACAGGCCATTTAGCTCACTAAAGCATATGAAAGTAGATTTTCATACGGAATATTCTCCGGTGAAACCGACTGCTTTGACAATAGCATCTGCGACCTCTTTTATGCTGACCTCCTCGTTTTCGCCAACTGTCATGAAGTATGTCAGAGCTTACAACGATTGACTTAGCAAAAAAGACGCACCCGAGAGAATAACAGGCTCAACATCATCGTATTCGCGAAGCTGCCAGATGAATAGTTTCGCCAAATCATGAGAGTAGATGAACTGTCGGAGGGGCTTTCCTGTACCAGACACGACAAAGGGAGTACCATTCTCTGAAAGCGATGGAGGGTAAGCATTCTTGCTGTAGATTAGGAAAGGCATTCGGACATACTCTTCGCGAGGTAACATTTATGGATCAAGCCTGGGATGACATGCGAGTCCTCTAGATCGCTGCGATACGAATTAGCCCAGTGTAAATAAATATAATCAGACACTCACAAGTTATCGTGTGGACCGAAGACATTGGTCGGAATCGCAGATGTGAAGTTGCATCCAAATTCTTCCTGGTATGCACTAATTGAGGGATGGATGGTTAACAACAGTTACTGATCAGAGGGACATAAATTCACTGATTCTGAACATCCACCATCCGCTTCGCATGGGCATAGCCAAAGTTACTTTCGTGGGGTGGTCCGCTATGGATTTTGTTTTCGTCAAGTGGATATTCAACCTTGTCGGGGAAAACGCAAGTGGAGAGGCAGGAAATGACCTTTTGGGTGTTGAATTTGTACGATGTGTGGAGGACATTGTCGTTGATCAGGATGTTGTCTCGCAAGAACGTTAGCTGTAATACATTAGTTAGGTGAGCTAATCGAGAGCCAAAGAAGCAAAAATCTTACTTTGTATTTCATGTTCTTGAAAAGCCCTCCGACTAGGTTGATGATATATCAGCATGATGTCAATCATGATAGTATGATAAGATAATGTACCGAGAGCAGCCAAATGGATAACATGAGTTGGCTTGTATTTCTCGAACAACTTCTTTGTCTCCTCCGGGTCCCTACGGGCGATGTTGGTGCGATCTGACTAGATAGAATCTCAATAAGCTCACCTGAGATCTGCCTCGCGAGAATTTGCGAATATCCAAGTCTCATTTGGTCTCTTTCCAAACCGAGATCCCTCTGGTTCAGTGTCGATGATATGTTGGATGGCTTTTCCTACGAGGCCAGTGCCTCCAGTCACGAGAATCACGGTGGCCATGGATGATCAAAGTACAAGCTAAGGTTTTAGTGTCTTGTTTGCTATAAACGCTATGATAACAATGATAAGAGTGCGTTCTGCGAATCAAAACTTGAAGCTTGAGTACGCACGTTGCACTGATTAGATTGTATCTGAGTAAGGAAACCGACAAAAACCGAATGTAAGTGTCTATTTATTCCCACCTTCCTTTCCCACTTGCTCATGAAAAGTCACAAGCGCTACTCAATACATAGCTCTTCATTATCCGCACACAGCGGTAGCCCTCAGTGAAATCCTCACAAGGTCATAGCGCTCTCTGCGACAAGCAGATTCCATTAACATCGATTATCATGGATGGCCAGAAGATAGCAAAAGAGGTTTATGGCCTGGCGCACTCGAAAGAACCGGTCGCTCCACTCGTGAAAGAGGCGCTGGATGTTATTGATCAGGTGTTGGACCATTATGGGTGAGTTTCATGTCGAAACATAAATGTAGTGGTAAGCTTATGGAGGGGTTTGATGAAGACAGGAGCACATATCATTGAGCTTCAATGGAGGAAAGGATTGTACGTAAAATGCTACTGAACACTGACCAAGGAGACACTGAGCAAGTTTGGCTATTCATCTCATCATTAGGTACAGTCTTGCTGCACCTGTATGCAGCAGCCCTAGCCCACCGTGTGGGAGCTTCACAGGGGCTAAAGCCAGTCCCCGCGATCTACATTCCCGTCCCATCACCATTCCCGGAGCTTGAAGTGTTCATTACAGAGACTTCTAGGCTTTATGGTCTCGACCTATATACTTGTGCCCCATCTTCAGATGCCTCAAACCGGCTTCCCGTGGAAAGCGTCACTCCAGGCATACCCGGTACACCTTCGGGTCTTACTAATGGCAACGGCCATATCAAGGACCCCTTGTCACAGCCTGTTGGCATGTCGCGGGGAGGTGAAGGAATGAGGAGGGCATTAGCCATTTACAAAGAGAGACTTCCTCACATTCAAGCTATCTTGATTGGGACTCGGCGAAGCGATCCACATGGTGGTATGTCTCTATCAAAGCATATACCGTTTTTGTTGCGAATTCAACCTATTCTCTTGTCTGCTAGCTACACTCTCACACCGCAATATGACGGACCCTGGTTGGCCCGTATTCGAGCGCATCAACCCCATCATAAACTGGTCGTACTCTGATATTTGGGCCTTCCTGAAGGCACTCGATATCCCATATTGTAACCTGTATGATCAAGGGTAAGCCTTATTTCCCACCGATATGTTGCACTTCGTCGGTCTTTCGGGAGTCTGACAAAAGTATTGCTTCAGGTTCACATCACTCGGATCGACATACAATACTTATCCTAACCCTGCGCTCCTTATTCCTGTCTCGGGTACCCCGTCAGGCAACTCCTCTCTCCCGTCCTTCACGATCATCGCCGCCGACCCGAGTACAATCTGTTTCACCGAATCGAGTCACGTATCCGCAGTTCCGCTTGCTATGAATGGCCACACAAACCACGCAGATTCATCTAATCAGCCTCGGTACAAGCCAGCTTATGAGCTCGTTGATGGAAGTCTGGAACGTGCCGGAAGAAGTTCAGCTACTACAGCATTTGCGTCTCATTGTTGAATATCTTCTATTTGGTTGTACCTGTTATCTTTCGAAAGTATCACGATTGTTTGTAATAAGATAAGAAGCCTGTTAGAAGCACCTGTTGTATGTATTGTGTGGTCTTAGTTGTCTCTGTAACTTCGAGTTTATCTGCACTTTCAATATCATTCATATTCCTGTAGTGTGCAAGGCCGGCTTCTGTCGTTATTAAATTACTTGTCTGCAGTACAGTGGGTATCAAAGAACGTTGGACAGCATGTTCATAGTTCAGGCAATGCTGATACAAAACAAAGAGACATCATCTGGCGGCGTCAAACAGCTGTTTGTCACCTGGAGACCATAACCACATCAGAAATTCATCTACTCGGGCTTCGTAGAGTCATTCTGCGATTCTATATCGTCCAACGGCACCCGTTCATACTTTGATCCATCTCGCTCCCCAGATTTGGGCGTTCGAGATTCCATGTGCTTTACCCAAGTGTAGTAGATCGAACCACCTAAAATAATAGCTATCGAAGATGCACGGCCACTAGCGGATTGCACTGATAAGAAAGAATGTGTCAAGCTAAAACAAGGAAAGGACGCACGAAGTGATGATATCATGGAACAGCCACATTCCCAAAAGCGAGGCTGCCACACCACGTACCGCAGATGAAACCATGTGCGTTATTGGAGACGTAACTTTGATGGACAACAAACTTGCGATACTCATCAGGAAACCCAGAATACCCTGAGTATCACTTCAGTGCGTGGTTGGTTGCGAGGGTGCGGATGGACTTACGGTGATTAATGATCCCCACATAAAGGTTTGTAAGGGGGTGAGCTCTCCTTCTGCTGTGATGAAGGTGGATGGTGTGAACAATAGTTCCATGACCGATGGAAGTTCTCCCATAATCACCATTATTGGTGCCAACACCAAAATGCTCAGTAGATTGGTGTACCAAGAGAGATGCAGTGCGCTACCCTTGACGACATCTAAACTTTTTTTGATAACAACAGAGTGCAAGGCAGTAATAGCAGAGCTTGCAACACCGAAAGAAACACCAATGACCGAGATGGGTGTGCCGTCAAGGAACACACCAACAAAGAACCCAAGGGTAACGATCGAACAGGAAACCAAAATCCGCAGTGATGGACGCGACTGAAGGAGGAAGTAGGACGTGCAGACTGTGAAAGGGAGTACAAGCCCTCTGGCAACTTGGTAGAACGACGCATCGACATATTTGAGAGTATAGTTACTGAAACTGTTGTTTTAATAATATAGTCAGCTATTCCTAATTTTTTCTGCTGAGAAAGAAATGGCAAGATACCTGAGACCGACAACATTCAGACCAACCATCGGTGCCAAGCCTTTGAATAATTGCATGTCGATATATAATGGGACTTGCAATAATCCAGTCGCATGCGAGATAAGGAATAGTATGACGGCGATTAGAAGCTGAGTGAGGAGAAAAAATAGTGGTGCAGCGGTTGTTTTTAGGACCCATTTGTTACTATCAACCAAGTCAACCTTAGATGGGATGGGGGCTCGAGGAGAGGCACTTACGCCATAACCATCTTTCAAAGGAGAGTATTATCAGTACTGTGGATTGTAATTGAATGTTAAAATAAACTACACACCGCTAATGCAGCTACGAGATAGAATGTGACGGTCCCTGTCTAATCATTGTAGTCGCTCAGTGATATGACCCGGGCGATATGATGGAATTAGGCTCACCACAAGCATCTTACTATTCTGTGCTTTTGCAGCATGTTGAAGGGGCATTTTTCGGACGTTTGATGGAACAGCAACAGCAGCTTTTTCTAAGAGTGAAATCTGGTTTGATGTTGGGTTGTCGCTATCGGCTCTAGTAAGCTGGGCCTGTTTCTTGACCTCCGTATACAGTGATGCTCTAGAATTAAGATAAGGCGGAGAATCCAAGTGTCAGCTCCAAATATTAGAAAGGGGAAGAACGAAGAAAAATTCACAGGAATCCCGTACTTTACGGTGTTGCAACCGCAGCCACCGCCAGCACAGAGCCACGGAGGCTATGTAACCGTGACCGTGTACGTAACCGAGACCATTGAACGCGACAAGAACGCGACGCGCCTTTTGCTTCTGCTTTCTACAGCTCTTTTCCTTGCCGTGTCTTTTTACTTTGTTTTAGTCCTTGGAAATAGTAAAGATTAAAGACACAAGATACTTCAATCATTTTCTGCAAAATTTTCGAGGATGGACTCCCATCAACCAAGTCAGGAGCGAGATTCTGTACCGCCGCCACCCACCATTCGAAATGCCTGTCAGTAAATACTGCTTCACATCCCAAAGAAATGGAATGGTTGATTAACCAAACTATGTCTGCGTAAAGATCCCGACGACACCATTCGTATTATGCTTGCAACAGACAATCACATCGGTTATTTGGAAAGAGACCCTATTCGAGGACAAGACTCGATCAACACTTTCCGCGAGATTTTGCAGTTGGCAGTGAAATATGATGTAAGTGCAGATTTGTAATTTTAGTCATCTATAGCTCTCCTGCAAGCATTACTGTGGTCAAAGTCTGCGAGCAGTGCGGCGTCTTGCTCACCAAACCTGTCGGTTTATAGGTAGACTTCATCCTTCTCGCTGGAGACCTTTTCCATGAAAACAGACCATCCAGGGATTGTTTATACCAAGTCATTGCTCTCCTTAGAGAATACACATTAGGCGATAAGCCAGTCCAAGTAGAACTTTTGAGTGATCCGGAAGAAGGTAAAGCAGAGGGCTTCAAGTGAGTATCATCAATATACTGTCAGGACGTTCTCATCCAACTATTTCATCTGGAAGCTTCCCAGCTATTAATTATGAGGACCCAAATCTCAACGTCGGTATCCCGGTTTTCTCAATTCACGGTAATCATGATGACCCCCAAGGCGCTGGTCCAGTGAGTATTCCTTATTCATCCGGAACAATGTCTTATAGTGTCCTTTAGGAAGGTGCTCTCTGTGCCCTGGATGTCCTATCCGTCTCTGGTTTGATGAATTACATGGGAAAATTTGACCTTCCTATCAAAGATGCAGAATCAACTGGGATTGCAGTACGCCCGGTCCTCCTACGCAAAGGTAACACACAGCTAGGTCTTTATGGAGTTGGCAATGTCAAAGATCAGAGAATGCATTTTGAGCTCCGGAGCAATCGTGTACGGATGTATATGCCAAGGAACAAAGACGAGTGGTTCAATATATTACTTCTGCATCAGAACCGGTAAGGCAGTCGTGTAGGTCAAGGCTGTGAAGGCTTATGAGTTGCATCCCGCAGTGTGCGCCACGGCCCTCAGGAGTACGTTCCAGAGGGCATGTTTGATGACAGCATTGACTTAGTCGTGTGGGGTCACGAGCACGATTGTCGAATAGTACCTGAGATTGTAGCTGGAAAACCGTATCTCATCACGCAACCTGGCTCATCCGTAGCTACGTCGCTAGCAGATGGAGAGGCCATAGAGAAGTAATCCTTCATGTTTATAAGATGTGCATATAGTCTGACTGATTTAACAGACATGTCGCACTGCTTCAAATACAAGGCAAAGAATTTCAATTGACGCCAATACCTCTGCGGACAGTACGGCCTTTTGTCTTGGAGGACATCCACCTTGGTGAAGTATCCGACGAGGAGGGACTTGACCTTGGTGATCAAATGGCAATATCCAAGTTTTTGAAGTCAAGGGTGATCGTGATCGCTTTGTTATGGCATAAGAAGCTGATGATAGTTAGGTCAATGCATTGATTGATCGAGCCAATGCACTCTGGGACGAACGTAATGCTAGGGCAGTAGAGGACGGAGAAGAAGAACTTCCCCGGATGCTACCTTTAGTTCGTCTGAAGGTAAGCCAACTCTTCAGTTCTTTGGTTCAATAGTAACTTTGGTGGCAGGTCGACACCACGGGCGTCAGCGAAATGTCCAACCCTATACGGTTCGGTCAGGAGTTTCAAGGACGCATTGCTAATCCTCGTGATGTCCTCGTCTTTCACCGTTCGAAGAAATCGGCCGCCCGCAACGCCAAAGTGGCTATCGATCAACCCGAACTCAGCATTGATGATCCTGAGTTATCGATATCCGAGAAACTCTCAAAGGTACGCGTGCAGACGCTTGTAAGGGAATATTTGGCTCCCCAAGAGCTGCAACTATTGGGAGAAGCAGGCATGTCAGATGCTATCCAAATGTTCGTGGAGAAAGATGATCCTCACGCTATCCAATCGTACGTTCTTCCCCTTGTCTGTCGTTATAGCTGATGGTTGAGATGTTTAGGCATGTATCTGTTGCTTTACGTTCATTAATGAAAGGGGTAGCAGCTAACGGAGACGTTAACGAGGGTGATCTCGACGATGTGGTACGTTTGTGGCCTTTACAACAATAATAAAAAACTTACTTTGTTGAGAAAGCTTCTCAAAGCTAAAGAGAGACAGGATAAGGAATACATCGAGAAAGTGAGGACAGGAAAATCATCCAATGCCAAGGCAAGTTTACCGGTTCTAACTTATAATCTTGATTTAATCAATCTTCTTCTAGGGCAAGGCAAAAGCGACGGGCGATGAGTCTGACGCTGCATCTGTCGATTCTATGATGATGGACGTGGACGCTGCCGGTGGCTCCGATTTCGAAGCACAGTCTGACGAGCCTCGGCCCAAGAAAACTACTGCAAGGAAGCCTGCAGCGGCCAAAGCATCCGCAAAAAAAGCACCTGCGAAGGGACGTGGCAAGAAAGCTGTCGTTCCAGAATCCGATGAGGAAATAATAGACCTCTATGACGACGACGACGATGAGGAAGAGGAACCCCCAAAAACTGCGAGAAGGACTAATCGTGCCGCAGTACTCAGGTGAATCTTTCTTCAGCTCAGTTTCTAGATTCCCGCTTTTCTGATATCTTTGCGGTAGTCAACCTAGTACGGCAGCCAAAAAAACTCCGGCCAAAAGGGCGGCCGTCACGAAGTCTAAACCGTCAACTCAATCGTCTCAAGCAACGCTGAGCTTTGCTCCATCTGGAAGAACATCCAATCGAGCCGCTGCTTCCAAGGCTCGAGGGAAGATGACGGAAGTGGTAAGGTTATCTTAACTTCCAGGCTCCATGATTATATTAACGAAGTGGGCGATAGCTCGATCTGGATAGTGACTAGCGATGTTGGTAACCAGTATGACCGTGCCAACTTTTATGTTAAAGAGGTGCGTTGTTTTTTTGCCCTTGTATTTTGTTTCGTAGCTAGATTCATGCTGCTCCGATTCCAGGGAACATATTGATTTCATTTTTGTCTAACGTATACGGAGGTTAAATGCGTCGGCACTATTCCAACTATTGGTGCCGTCTCGGAAAAATCTGGTCTTTGTTTTACAATTGTTTGGTTGAACGGATCTCCTTTTCTCATCATTGACATTCCACTCCATGTTCAGTCTAGTTCTCGCATTGCTGTTGTGTCCGCTATTTAAATCCGATTAATGGTCCCGCATTTGACGGGACTTTTCGCTGCTTATTGAATTGCTGAGGCTGTACTTATGGCATCGCGAAAAAGTTTGGATAGAAGCCGACGGATGCTCCAACGCCGGGGCCCAGGAGTCAGGAGGCAACAATCTCAAGATAATATGTATAGGCCAAGATACTGTGTAAGTGTTCGATAATGGACGTAGCGAATGGAGAGGTGGCAGTGTAAGTGGTGCCAAGTGCTTCTAGGGCTGAGTTCTCTTCCTTGTCCAGCGTTAACTTACCATGGTACTCTATAATTTAAAACTTTGACTGCGAGAATTCAAACTGACCAAATTTCTACTAGAACAAATCTGCAGCGCTGCAACTCCGAGCCGGAGCACGCAGCGGCATACGGCCCGGAATAGTCCGACCATACTCACAGCAAGATGAGATTGGACGCAACACCAGTGCTCCCATGTGACGGGGCCGCAAGTACTGGTGCAATCTGAGTCTCAGCCTCAAAATTCGCCTTCACACAGTGTCACAGTTGTATGGCCCTTCCAATTCTCCCTGTGGAGCTGATTTTCAGCATTCTCGCTGTCGCACTTCGGAACGAGCCTACTCCCAGCAATATTCTTTGTGCATCCCCGGGGTTTTTCAGAATTGGCCAGCTCATACTCTATGAACATCTGATCTTCCGCTCTCTGTACCAACTAGCACAATTCTCGAAGGTGTCTTCGCTTCCATGCGCTCCACGGTCCATCACTCTAGATTTTACTGGGAAAAGCGGTGATTTCCATGTCTTCAAATTCCTGAGAGATGCATTGCAAAGGATAAAAGATCACAGTGCCGCCTCAGCTTGCCTCGACGAAAATGACATGATTCCCTTAACCAGTCTGTCTCTACGACTACATTCTTATGCGCGAGACACAAGTCTTGACTGCATCTCCGATGCCTTGCGTTTGATAAGGTGAGTAGATAAATACACGAAGCCATCCAACACTTACCTTCCTTTCACACCGATGTTTAGCCCAGAGTCCTTCACCTGGACAGGACCAGACCCTGAACATCATTTCTCCACAGCTGTAAGTTTTCCCGGACTTAGACTGTACAAGTAAATAAATATAGTGTGTTCTAGATCGTTGCTCCAGTCTCGATGCTCTTGTTCAGAGCATTCGAAGGTTGGTCAAATATTCAGCACATAAAATTATCAAATATCGCCTTTTGCGCACCCGACCTCAGGGTTGTCGTTTCCCCACTTCTCCCTTTAATCCCTACCCTGCGTACTCTGTATATCGGACAGGCAACCTTTTTGTCCCCGTTTCCGATCGCTGCTATGTTCTCCTTAGGGGATATGCCGAATCTACAGCAAATTCGGCTGGTGGATACGTACATGGGGAGCATATGGGGATCCAGATTAAGGAGGGATGATATTGAGACTGCCTATATGTGTCTGGCGCAGACTGCCGGCAGCATAGGTAGCGATACTCGAGCCCACGATTTAGGCCGTATCAGAAATCTAGTCCAATGCGAGAAACAGACAGAAAGGATCATGGGCGGTGATCGGGTTGAGGGGAGTGTACTCGCGCTCTGAACTTTCTCACTCGTCGGCCATCATGCATTATCCACTATGGTACAGACTTCTTATCACGCAATCGTATTTACGTCCCAAGTTGTTACCTCGTACAATGTATATGTGTAGTAGGGAATTTGACAGCAAGCTTTCCTGTTTCGTCCCGGGGACCTAGTACGTCAAGAATACAGTAGTTGTGGTGTGAAAAGGTACATCATATTTCGACTTCGCGGACACCATCTTTGTCGACAACCTTTACCTTATACCTCCCAGGGCTGACAACCAGCCGCTTGGCTACCTCATCCACGCATCTTTTCAGTGTGGCCAATCCTTCTTCCAATGATGCTTCAGGGTCATGATACCTGAGGGAAGCACTGGTTAGCAAACGCCTTTCACCAGGTACCCGTGTTCCGTGTTCAGGAAGCGCACGAGGTACAAAGCACATGACTGATGTAATGTACTCGACTTGGGACATAACAAAAGACTAGATTAGACATACCGGTCGAGCAAACTTAGAGCAAAGTAACTGCCATAACCATGAGCACCAAACGGCACATCCACCTGCGTTCCCAAATAGTCGATCCAGTACAATTTTGGCTCATGTGTCGCCGTGTCGTAGCCGCCGACCAAGAGGTTCACAGAATACGGGCTGCGTGAGCGGAGCGAGTCTGCTAGTGAGCGACGAATCCATGATGCAGCAGCGGATGGACGAAGGGGATAGAGGTTGCGGATTTGGTACAGACGTATGTTGCGTTCTACGAATTCTGCGAACTGAACGGTGTCACCTAAATGCACAGTGATTGCATCAGCAATAGACATAAATATGATGCAAGCGGGACGCACCTGGCTCTCCTGAGTATGCCATGAGCAAGTGAGGGCTGATTTCCTTAATCTTGTCCTCATCCACCTTCATCTTGACTATAGACCGAGCAGCTGTAGTATCGGCTGCAACGATCACATATCCTTTCCCTGTGAGCGCAAATGAAGTCTCCATGTTGTCTGGATGTTCTGTGTAGAGGTATGTTGTGGCCTTTAGATATGAAGCGTATGGTTTCCTGAATACGCGTCGAGGTGATCTGGTATGGCGACGCGCGTCTCGGGCAAGGCCGAGGTGTGACCCTAACCTCACTACGATTGTCCATGGTTCGCGGGACTCTCAAACCAAAACGCTGTCAGACCCGGGCTTCGTTTTTGTTATTTTGCCATATCAGTGGTATCGTATTCAATAATTTTGTGCGGGAGTCTCAGCATGAATGGACAATAGTACACGCGTGTGTACCCTCAGATCTCAGACTATTTCTCATCGGGCTTCGGGTGCAAGTTCGGACACACAACTTTCTTGGCTAGGTCTTTCGCTACCGGATCAACATATGTGAATGTTATAGGGTTGGCGCTTTTCTACAAAATCACCGCCCGTGCACACTTTTCCAGGGTCACTGTACTCTTAGCAGTAACCATTCCATCCTGGATGGCCTGGTTTCAAATATTTCAAGATGGTCCCGAGTACGAAGCCAGGAGAAACAAGCCTTCCTTCGCACCTCCTAATTTGACCCTCAAGGATGTGCATGATGCTGTTCCTAAACATCTTTTCCAAAAGAACACGCCAAAGAGTCTTTTCTATGTTTTTCGTCACCTCGTTTTCACTTACGCTTTCTTTTTACTCGCTACACGTATCGACGACCTTCTATGGCTAGCTGGTTCACGCCTAGGTATCAAATCTGCTGGGCAGATAATTATTCGCATTTTGTGTTGGTCATCGTACTGGTTCTGGCAGAGTATAGCGTTTACTGGTATATGGTGTCTGGGTAAGATTTCTATGCTTCTAGGTTCTTCTCTCACCAATCTAAGTGTGACATCTATCGTCAATGGTAGGACACGAGGTGTGTACTTTGATATCTCGATATTTTGTACTTAAAATGATACTGTTATAGGCAGGCCACGAGGCTCTATCATCCAAGCCGCTCATAAACACTGTGATTGGTCTACTCCTGCATACGTCCATACTAGTCCCATATTATGCCTGGCGGGCGACCCATCGCACTCATCATGTCAGTCGACAGGTTGTCGCGCGTATACCGCTTCTCGCAACTAATAGTTATCCTGCCAGAAATCCACCAACCACCTAGAACGCGATGAGACGCACATCCCTCCTACACGACATGACTTCAAGCTTCCTGATGGCAAAATTGCAGTGGCTATGGACTACAAAGAACTTCTGGAAGAAACACCCGCTTTCACTCTGTTCAAGTTATTCATGAGACAATTCCTGTATGTGTAGCGTGGGTTTTTATGCGGAGATAGGAACTTCATTGATAGGTCTGATATATTTTCCAGCGGGTACCAGCTTTACCTTTTGTAAGAACACGTTGACCGCTATGACGTGATTCATGATATCTGACAAAATGAACAGCCACAACCGCAAGGGAAATCCGAAGTATCCGCCGTGGACAAGTGTGAGTCGTGGAACATTCCGGCACTTCATACCAGTCCCGGTCTAATGAGATTATAGCACTATGTACCATCATCAGCGATATTCAAACCGGAACACCGTGAGTCGACGCCTCTCCATCTCGATATATTGGATTCAGTTGATCAATTGGAGCCTCTGGGTAGGGAATTCGATTATCGTTTCAAATGTTGCTATTTGTACAATGCTTGCTATACTGGGTTCGTATATTAATAATGCTGGCTGGCTTGCAGCATGGAAATACTACTTGGTGCCCTGGTTTGTGAGTAATCAGTTCTTTATAACTGCGCGTGTCATATAATCTGATTATTACTGGTGCGCTTACAGTTAGCTAACAACTGGTTAGTGGCTTGAGAAATGACACTGAGCGCCTTATCTAACCATCTATTTTTAGGATCGTTACCTTCACTTATTTGCAGCACAGCGATCCGACTATACCTTATTATCGCAAAGTAAGCTACTCTTCGCTGTCATGTACGCAATGATGGGTTGAGCACATCTTTCATTGAGGATCAATGGACCTTTGCTCGAGGAGCGTTGGCTACGGTTGATAGGCCCTTTTTTGGGTGGATTGGGCGTATTTTCCTTCACAACGCAAGTCTTCTATGTCGTGTAGGATGATGCGCAACGCCCTCAAAGTCGTCTTCTATTTGAATTGGCAGATTGCTCATGACCACGTCGCGCACCACTTCTTTTCTAGCATACCATTTTGTGCGTGTTGAATTAATGTGTCATGGATCATAAATAACACGCGATTCCCAGACAATCAGCCGCAGGTAACAGAGGCAATCAAGCCTGTCCTCGGCGAGTATTATAATTATGATTCTTCCGTGAGTCTTTTGAATTGGTTTTTGGGTGTCAGTGCGTTTCCGGGACCCAGGGCTGAAGTTACCATTCTGTATGGTGTTGTCGGCTTTAGAATACCTTCTATTCGCTCTGGCGGTCGTTCACGCAGTGTACGTTCGTGGAAGCGGACGGTGATGTCGTTTTCTTCAAGAATCAGCAGGGACAGGCGGTTCGCGAGTGCAGAACTTGATATATGGGATGAGAGTCTCGGCGGGCGATTGCAATCTGGCTTCTGAGAGCGTTAGATAGGCTGTTTCTGCTTACAGAGAAATCTTTGTTGATGGAGGGAACATATCTGATCCGCAATTGGTGGGAGAGTATGATATCCATTTGGGATGTGTGGCGTGTCTTGGGAAAAGCCTATGAATTTGCTTCGCCTCTTGGAAGTGAGCCATATGCATCCGTATGTACGATTACGATGTGCGAGTTCCTGGCTAAATCACCGTTGCTACCTTTGCCCTGGAAGCGCGAGAAACGTTCGCTTTTACAAGACGACCACCTTGGGAACACTGCGGTAAATCCCCTCGAAGGCTTTCTGTGCTCCGCCAGTGCGGCGTCAAGGTTGAATGTGGTGCGAGCCGTACACACGGACGGATTTTATTCGACAGTAATGGTTATCCTCGTACTTTCCAGACCGCCTTGTCAATTGCATGTTCCCAAGCTTCTCACCAGCATTACTGATTTGGATTGGGGGAAGCCTTCTTTCTAGTCCTACTATAGACTTACTTTGTGGCGGACCGCCGGTGATTCTGACATGCCTTTATGGATGGCGATAGCGCTGAGTATCTAGCGATATCATGGACAGACATAAACTTTCCCGCGTATTCTGTCAACAAGTCCTCATCAGTAATCATTCATCATACGTGTACAACAATGTCTCCGCCGAGCCACCTATATCGAACAGGTCCAGGGATCCGCAGGGCTCCACGTTGCAATTCCTATGGCAAAACAGCTCTGCAGCGGGAGCTTTCCATTGACCCTTTGGATTGACTCAATGTCTACCGGGGCGGCTATGGCCACGTGTACGTACCTTTGGAGTCTTTTCCGAGAAGTCCTCATGCTCGACTAGGACACGGAGAGGCGAAAGCCATCACCAGATTCGACCAGGCCGCTCTTCCAGACATGCCATAGGAACATTCAAGTTTATATATAGCTTCAGTGGAAGTCTTCATGTCCTGATAACGAATAAATATTGGGCTTCATCTCCAGCTTTTACGGTCAGACAACAAAGTCCCCCTTTCACAACACTTTGTCCATCATGTCTTCACGATCATCCACGATGTCGGCCAGTGCAGTGTCCTCTTCTTATGACAACTATCCCTGCCCGTCCTCATCATCATCATCGGAGGGTGTCATATACGACGTTTACCCAAAAGTATCTCGTCGATCAAAGTCGGCAGCTTGGGTCGACCCCACTTCCTTTTCAAACTACGGGGATGTCTCTCAAATAAAAGGGAACGTATCCCCCTATGTAAAACAACTCATCTTGAATACTTTCGTTGCCTACGGGGCCGGCGATGAACAATGCTTTGGACACACTGTTGCAAAGTCTGTCAAGTTTATTGATATCAGCGTCGAAGAAAATAGCGACAAGAAAGGTCGTATGGAAGCCACAACTGTCGCAGAAGTCATTGTAACAAAAAGTTCGTTTTCTGTTATATCTAAAGGACTGTTAATTTATTTGTGATTATCAGGTATGCTCAACGGAGCTGGAATGCTTCACGGCGGATGTATAGCATTCCTCATTGATAAGTTAGTCCTGGCTCATCTCCAAGTTGAATAATGTGCTCATGTAATTGTCATCCAGTTGTTGTAGTACACCTCTCATAGCCCTCGGGCTGATCCAAAACGTGAACGGCGTTGGGGTGACCCAAGCCATGAATGTACTCTTTCACTCGCCAGCGCCTTTGTAAGCTTCTCCGTGCTCGGAAATCCCTCTTTCTTTCTCAAGCCCTTCACAGGGGGACATGTCTTCACATAATCAGTACTTCGATAGCACTTGGTGGAAGAATCATGAGTGCACGATGCGAGGTACGTTAACTTTCTTCGCTGTCGCACATGTTCATAGCTAAACGACGTCACGTGTCAGGTCGTCAATAAAGACTCGGGAAGAATTGTTGCCTCCGCCTACTTGAACAAAATGCAACCTGTCATAACCAAATTGTGAATTTCCTGTTGTGGACTGACCTATATAGACCATGGATAGACTTATACCACTGTATCAACTTAATGTAAAAGTAGCATCCGCATATGTGATATCAGTACACGGCGTACATAGGTCACTATAGAATACGGCTTCGTATACCCGAAATACCCATGTACCAAAAATTGTCACATGTAGAATTATGATATACATCTTTTTCATTTCGTATACTCTTCTTTTAACAAACGAGCAGCCTGTTTCGTCATTCGGTGAACAAGATTAAGGCAAAAAAGGTAATGGCTAAAACCTACCATTTCGCCGAGTAAATATGCGACAGATTGGGTGTGAGCAACCACTGGGAAAGGTACCACGCTGATATCTTTGGATTTTTATCAGGAATATCCCCTTCTGGGGCTGCAATGGGAAAATCACTGGGCGCAAAAACTAACCTGCGATTCGAAGCCCTTTTACTCCCTGTACACGGAAGGCGTTATCAACAACTCCACGCGTATCTTTGGTTCGCATTGAACACGTTCCACCAAGATGCCATACTGCGCGGACATCAAATGATTATTTAGGAGCGGTTCCAGAACAGAAGTCAGTCATAACATAGTTAAGGACAAAGGGAACTTACGTGTGGAGACTCTGTCTCTGATAATCTCAATCAACTTATCCTTTGACGGTGTTTCCTCTGCTTCCAGAAATTCGGCCCAAGCCGGTGTCCTGGAAATCTCGTAGGACTTTTCTAGTGCAGCGACGAGTAATTCTCTATCCACTTCTTCTTTCAGCTGGTTTACAACAATTCGTGGCAACTGAGTAGTGGAGGCATCAGCATCCGCTGGAGCGCTGGCCAGGGTCACCGAACCACGCGACACAGGTGTCAGTAAAACATTTGAAATCGATATATATGACGTTTCCAATGGGTCTGGCGCTTGTGTCAGACCATGGCCATAATGAACCATTTGTTCGATATGGGGAGCACCAGGTCGGAAAAGGTACTTCTCCTCTAGAGGAGTAAATGTCCTGAGAGATGGCTTCGAGGAGCTGTAGAAAAGACGGAAGGGCAAGATTTGAGAAATCTGAGAGCGCAGATATTCTAGCCATGAGAAGGATACAGACGTCTGATCTGGCGGCAGCGCTGTCCTTAGCCTATCTCCAAAATTAGAAAATGCCATCCATTCATATAGCAGGCCTGGGTGAAATGTCAAGGCAAGAAAAGCAAACATTGTACCATGAACAGCCGGTCCGCTGACATCTTCAAATATAAACTCACCACTCATCAGACCACTCTTTGTCTTCGCCCACTTGTCTACATGCCGAGCGGAAGTTTTCAAAGTAGCAAAATCTTCCACGGTATCCCTGCGCTTGTGGTCCTTCACTTTGAACCTGTCGGAAGTCCAAAAACAGGACGCATCAGATGTAAGGAATACAGTAATTCGCATGAGACATAACGACCTGACATCTACGAATGGGTGTTCCCACAAATTCTCTCCTACTTCCGGTGAGTCCACGATAACAGATATGCCATGTTCGGTAAGCTGACCCGCGGGTCCGATGCCCGACCTGTTGGAAAAAATATCATTTGAATACAGATGGAGAAATAGAGTGATTGCACTCACAGAAGCATCAGATGTGCGCTCTTCACCGTCCCCGCAGTAAGAATCTTTCCACCAATGAGTAATCATCGTCACCAAATAAGAAACACGATCGGAAAAAACGTACCACTTCATGACTTGCCCTTATGAAGCCAAAGGGAGTGTGCACACCTATGGCTTTGGGTTCTTCTCCCATCACTTTCACATCCTCAAAAACAACTCGCTGAACCTCAATCGAGGTCCAAATCTCAAACCTTCTGGCTGCCTCTCCGGTCTCCGGCTGTCGTTTCATCTCTTCGGCTGCAGCCCGCACATACGCATTCGCGGAACATCTAAAGCCGTTCTCATCGAGACACTCCATCATCTCACCATACCCCAGCAAATCTCCGTTATTCAGACCATCAAGTCGTTGAAACCCAGCTTGTCCCAGAGAAAGTGAGGCAGTGTCAGACCAGTAGTGGTCCCGCGGCGTATCCTTCACGGAGCGAACACTTATAGGCCCACCTGTGGGTTTCTCAATCTGATAAGAGGGAGAAAAAGTCAGACAACTGGGAAATTTACTTCAAGGCTCCCAAAGCATCGGTTTTACCTGACTGAAATAGTGAACCACTCTTTTCCAGGAGAACTCCTCGTTGCCAGCGAGTTGCGCCCATAATTCGTAATCATCTGAGCAGAAAGCAGGAACGAGGTTTGCTAGAGTGGTGATTTATGGGAGAAAGCTAAAACCGTACCTTTCGCTCCGCGTGTCCAGATCGCCCAGTTAATGCATGAAGATCCTCCAAGTACCTTCCCTGAATTTATGTATAACCATTATAATGACGTATGCTAGTATACTGTGAGATTGCTTACCACTGCTGATCTTCAGCTCGTGGGGACAAAATTGACCTTCAGAGACAGTCGAATACTCAGCATCAAACGAAGAGCCGTGCAAGGCCCGTGTTTGTAAAATATAGTCCATGCATCCTTCCAACTCTGGATGTTGTTCAACACTGTGGGGAAATAGGTTCAGCACCCGACATATTATCCCTTGAGGATTATCAGGAATGAAGCTCACGATGTCCCTTGCTCTAGCAATAGAACACTGAATTTTCCACCTTCGGATAGTCGAGTAGCAAGAGCGCAACCGGCAGGCCTAGTAAATCGTCATAGACCAATGCCAAACATTCTACCCACGAGGAGAGTCTTACCCGCCTCCTACGACAACGAAGTCAAACTCGGGCGTAATGCGTACACCATCCTTATGGAACTTTGTCTTCTTGACAAACGAATGCTGGAACGAATAAACTAATCTCTGCATTATGATACAAGGCTTGAAGACTGAAGAAACTCCAAGCAATTAGCACATTCATTAAAAGGCTAGATGATTACTTGGTACGGACATATCCTTGGGGGATCAATCAGCAGTCAAGCAGCGGGTTTCTTTGATATGGGTGGAACGTGATGGTTTTATGACAAGTTTCTCCGTGCACTTTACTATGTATAGGGCCCTACATCTTCCGCACAAACTCAGCAACACTCTCCAAGAGAACCCGATCAAGCATTACAAGGCTCGGGGAGTAACATCAGCGCAGGAGATAACCCCGATAATGCAGGAGTCATGATATCTTCTGAGATACATTTCTGATCAGTTTGGCTCGGCCTTCGGGCAGAATCTTGATTGCACTCTGCTTTGGTCGACCATGAGGTCGATATGCCAGCTTGTCCCAGGGGTCTTTTTATCTGAACAAGGCTTTCATCGCACGCACAAACGACGCCGGTTAGCTTTGGAGTCCCAAGATTTATGCAGACAAGCACTGTAGGTTGCGAATTCGGAAGAAGATATGACAGGTCGTTGTGTTTCTCCGCTTATCGTGATTTTAGAAGTCGGCGAGCCATGAGCTGGTAATGGATAGTCATATTGTCTCATTGGCAAAACAGAAAGGAAACGAGCATAGGATGGTATTGCCAGAGCACGGTCTAACAAAAGTCAGAGCAAGAAAGCAATTTGACAAACGTCGTATGTCCTGAAGGAGATCACATGATTGACCATGATCATGTGATACGTGTTCATCTCACGCAACGCGACGCGCTTTCTTCAAGTCTGCTGTCTACGATAACGATTCAAGCTTTCCGGGTTCAGTACACTTTGTATATGTAACTAACATCATTACGCTGATATTTCATACCCAAACATTACTACTGACTTTGTTTTTGGACTTGTATATGATTAGACTCGGGATGACTCCCAAATACCGTGTTCTCGCCTCTCCTCCTCGAATTGGCTCTCGAGCGAAGGAGTTTTCACGGTGCACACACGCATATGATAAATTTGCACAGGCGCAAGAAAGTCAACAAGAGCCCAAGGATGATTCTTCTGATAGTTCGATTGAAATTATCGATGTGGTATTCGCGCCGAAGAAAAAAGAAGATACAAAAGCCTATAGTTCAAGGCCGTTAGTGAACATGTCTCATTCAATCGTAATATACTTACTCTAACCTCATTTATTTGATGCAGCATACATCCGTTTTTCCTGAAAAACAATCCCCGTGAAGCTGCCACTAAGACTCACAAGGATTTCGCTGGACAACATACAAAAACTACCAGTACAAAGCAAAGGGAGGGCGCGGGCGCAGCGGCTGTCACCTCAAAGAAGAGGGAATTCAAGAATGCTGCAGCCACCAACACCGACGATCCATATAATGCTTGCTCCCCTGGGGACGATTTATTCTTACCGCTATATGCAGACAAAACTGAAAATCTAGAAAGCTTCTCGCGACCAATCTCTACTTCACTCACAGGAGACCCAACTGAGTACGTACTTGTTATACATGTGCGCATATTCATTATACTTAAATCTCGCTCGATGCCATTTTCCTATAGTAATACAAGCAGCGAACAGAGTCCCACTGGTGGAACTGACCTCCCGACAATACCTCCACGCAAAGTAAAGAAAAATCCTGCGACAAAGCTGTCAAATTTGAAGAATACCCCTGCTTCGGATATCATAGGCGAAAAATCTCCAAAGACATATATACCTCAAGACTCCTCCAATGAACATATTAAAAGTATTCTTCCGTTATATTCGTACTTGGATTATTCGCCAAAAGCTTCAGCTGTATACATCAAAAATGAGGAACAAGCTAACGAACTAGTGAAGACATTAGAAGGGTACGTGTACACATAGTCGGATTATGAACGTCAGTGAATAAACTCTATAGTCCTTTGGGGTTTGACCTGGAATGGAGAGTCATGTGGTCTGCGGGAGCAGCTGAAAGGCGCACTGCGTTGGTGCAACTCTGTGACAGAAATACAATTTTACTTATTCAAGTCAGCGCTATGAAAAGTGAATGTTTCTTCGTATTTAACATGTCAATACGTTGACTGTGGGATTTTTAGGGTTTCCGCAAGGAGTACTTGTAAATCAATATTCTTCAAGATTATGGAATACATCTGATTATGTTTCACAGGATATTATTGAATCCCCCAGTGTAGTCAAAACGGGAGCCAACATTCTCAGTGAGTCTCGCTTTCTCGTAGCGGACCGTTATAGTCTCTTATAATGCACACGTCAAGATGATGGCGAGAAGTTATTCCGCGATTTCGGCATACACGCGCGTAATTTGGTGGAACTTGGTTCGCTCGCTCGACAGGCTGATCCACGCTTTGTGACCGTGTACAATCGGCAGATAGTTAGCCTAGCGAAGATGGTGGCAATGTATCTCCATAAAACACTCAAGAAGGGTAAAGAACGCACCGCAAACTGGGAAGGTGTTCTGAATAGCAAGATGATCGAGTGTGAGTTCTCGAATTATATATCAATTTTGCAGATGCACTCAACTAACTTCCGTGCTCTAGATGCTGCGAGCGATGCACATTGTGCATTGATGGTCCACGAGAGACTAATCCATATCGCTGCGAAGGCAGGAAGAGCTTTGGACCCATCTGCATCCACCAGTGTAGTTAACACCGATCGAAGCTCAAAGTTGAACCAAACTTCTCGGACAATATCTAATTCTAGTCAAGGCTCCGGATCGACGCAATTTTCACGGACCAGCTTTGCTGTTGCATACAATGAACCACCCAGGCCCCAACACTTACGCGCATTTAACTTGTGGCATCACAGAAAGATGCCTTTGAAAGAAATGTGCATGACATTGAAAAGTAAAGATAGAGCCGAGCCATTAAAAGAGAGCACAGTAATGTAAGTGTAATGATCGCAAGCTCCAGATTGGGCTAAATGCCGTCCCGGAAGATCGTATGTTATCGGTGCCTTGCAAGCAGACACTTCGCTACCATTCAATATGGATAAGTTAAAAGAACTAGTACGGATGGAATCAAGTAGCTGGCAGCGGCACAGACAGTGGATCCTGGAAAATGGAAGCCGTTCATAACCGGGGAAATTCTGGCTTTTTCAATATTTATACCTCCCAAAATTTATGTTCTATTTACTGCCATCATGTGCGTATCTCTCATATCTTTTGGTTGCGCTCTTGGAATCACATTGACCATGATTTCGCAGTGATTTTACAATATTTCCAAGAGCTTTCTTGTAAAACTTCAACACATCCGTTTTGACCTTTGTGCTTTGTGCAAGTTGTTCATTGAGATCAACCCTCTTTCTGATTGCTCTACCTATCGAATCAATGTATTGTTGTTACTAATGTTACATATTTTCACGGCTTCAGACTTATCACTTATCTAGACGAATCTTGTGTCATATTCACAAGGACGTAGGTATAATGCTGGATTACTGGGATCTCTGAAGAGAAGTGGGATCAACAAAACGGCAGGAACAAAGGTATCATTTGCAACATCATGCTAAAAACTATGGAGAATTCTCCTCTGAGCCAGCTTTATAATTAACAGCAGACGCACGAGAGCAGACTCGCCGGAACCATCGTCTAACATGCGGTCCTTTCGACGCCTTCACGCCAAGGTCACCGCTCGATGGAGCCGATGTGTATTCGGTGGTGGCAGGATCGGCTCCAGGGGCGTCAGTATGTTTGTGGTGGGTGCGCAAGGGTGCATCGTCGTACGACTGGAGAGCACAGGTATTACTTTGGCGTAGTTGTGGCCGATGGAGATGGATCTTGTTCCATAACCGGCGAGCATTGATAAATGTCCGCGACGCCTGATTTGATCGGTGGGGTGATCCATCGATCGACGATGCCAAAGATTCTCGTAGTTCTGCGATTGACGACTGTGGCTGGTGGTGCTGGTCCAGCTCTGTGTCTGCTGAGGGCGGACCGTCCTCAGCTGCCCAAATAGGTGAGGGACAGTATGTGTACTCTGGGAAAGGGTCGGTAGAGAAATCATAGGGTGAGCCTGACTGGATGATCGGCTCAGTGCTAGGCATTTGGATCGTTGAGTCATCAATGAGGGGATCAGGAATGTGAGGTGCCAAAGTTGAATGAGTCGCTAAATTGGACCAATCTCTATCAACAATGGATATAATTATTTGGCTGGAACAGTGATACGGCAGTGAAAAGATCCTACATCCCAGAGAAATAAGCATGTTCTTTCATCGCTTTCACTGACAGCCTATCCTGAGGGCTTTTCTCAAGTGCCTAAAGTGAAAATAAAAACGTTGCGTCAGGATTGGCGTTGCGGTAGGAGCGTAAAGTATAACGAAGAAGTGGAGTATGGGACTTACACGGTACAGAAAATCCTTTGTAGTTTCATCGACATCTACGGTATCCTCGAAAGAAAGGGGTTCGTGAAGGATAGTTTCACATAGCGTCTGCACATTGGGGTGGTGCCAAGGGACCTGCAAAAATTAGCTCATGTCATTCACGGTTCCACACGACAGGATAACATTCACTTATACCTTGCCTGTAGCCATATCATACACCGTTATAGCGAGTGACCAGTAGTCCACTGCAAAACTGTATGCGGATGAACCGAACATTTCCGGAGCCATGTAGTTCGCGGATCCACAGGGGGTATTGGTTTGGAAGACTCGTTCGTGGTCGATGATGCTGTCGTCAAAAGGGGAGAGAGGCCAGGTATCGGCACTGAGTTTCGCACTATCGTCTGCATCAAGTCTATCTTTCTCGGGGATGGATGTCCGCTCGAAGACCTTGGCAAGTCCGAGGTCTGCGATGACGATACGACCTGAAGAGTTTAGGAGGATGTTGCTCGGCTTGATATCTCGATGGATAATACCGAGTTTATGTAGATGTTCGAGACCTAAGAGCTAGGGAGAGAGATGATTTTTGTTTATTGAATAGGTTGGCTTGGTGTGTGAAAATAAGTGCTCACTATCTCTGCAGCGTAGAATTGGGTCCGTTGTGCGGATAAATGGCCACATCGCATAATTTCAGCTTCAAGGTCGCCGCCTATACAAAATTCCTAGCAGTCAAAAAAATTACTCGGTATGCATTGATGAACGGAGTGCGGTAAGTTGTACATACGGTTGCGAGGTAAAAATTCTCGGTGTCGTGGAAACTAGCATGAAGCTGGAGAAACCAGGGGCTTCCCACAACTCTTCGCAAGGCCTTTTGTTCTCGCGTTAGACACTCAACTTCTCCGAGATGTTGGCTTTTGTTTATAACCTTCAAAGCCAAATCCAAATATTTATATGCAGTTGCTGACTTTTCCTTGACTTTGTATACAGTTCCGCTTGTCCCAGTACCAATGTGTCTCACGATTGTATAATCCCGAAGGTGCGCGGTACGAAACAAAGAGAGCGTGGGCTGCTCGCAGAACTTCGATTGATTCGTTTCTTTTGCTACGAGAGTTGAAGTTGATCGAGTGAAGTGCCTTGGACTTGGCTGAAGATAATCTTGCGACGTCTCAAAAGGGTTATCGCTTGTGCTTGTCTTTGTTTCCTGTGACTTTTGCGCAGTATGTTAGGATAATCGACTTGGAGGAGTGTAAATGCAATTGATATTACGTACAACTGTTCGAACAGCAGTTAGTTTGGAAATCGTTGGCATCGTGCGTGGCTGCAACCTGACACCGAATTCGGTGAAGTAATAGCGAACGGGAGAGTCTTCCAGGAGTCCGTCTTGGGACATGTCTAGCCTCATTGAGGTGGACTCTTTGGAGTGAATGCTACTCGCCGGTGGCCAATTGAAGGATTCATACACTTCAAAGGGCGAGAAGGGCACCACTTCATTTTCGGGGACGACGTACTGTGTTCCTGAGTTTGTAAGTGGGTTGATATAATTATGATGACAAACATACCTGAGCGGTTGACATTGTACGACGATAGCAGAATGTACGAAATTTGGGGACTGGGAAGGAAGAAGAGAGACTGATAAAGCCTTGAGTTCAGTGGTCGTTCTCGGAATCGCAAGGGTGACACATTAGCTAGTCATGATTCTAATGGAAGAAAGCGGTCCAAGACTTGATGCGTAAGATCTTACAGAATGGACCGATGGACGAGGTGCGTTGATGCTCACACGGGAGGCTGACCAATGACTACCTCTCCTACGCCGAGATATATGATGACACAATACTGTCGTCCATTCACCTCAACATTAGACATCCATGAAAGTTCTTGAAGCCCTTGGACCTGTCCAACAGTGAACCATGGCCTGTATATGCCCACTCCATCCTGCAAATGAAAGAGAAGTCCAGATATTGTCTGTCCAATAGTTGGAATTTACCTCATGCCATCCCCCAATAGCAGATGAAATGAGGCCATATCGAATCGGGAAGGATGTCCAGCCACTTCCAATATATATCCATTCCAGGTCGTGCTATTAGTAGTGTAACAAGTTTATCTGACTTCCTTTGATTGCGGGTGGGAGGATATCCTGTCCTTTTTCTGTTGAAATTGAGGTGTGCTAGTGTCTTTGGGTCAGCATTCTTGTTATGTCTGTCATTGATATCCTTCCAATCGATGGTCTCCACGTTCCCTTGGGCTTGATAAGGTCCTGTAATCGATACACGCCCTCCACTCCATGATCTTTTTGCCGCACTAACATAAAAACTGCACCAATTGCCATAATCCACGATGTAAAAATCAAAGAGAGTGCATATATGCGGGTCCGGGAGGGTCCGTGGGCCTCTTTGGGTAGAGGTAGGGGTTGTGTATAGATGCCATAGCAGTACTGATACTCTGCTTGGGGCTTTGCGATAGCACGCCTTGCTCCTCTCCTCTACAGGTCTACGGGTAACCATAGCCCCAGTTTGGTCCAACGTCATATCCGAATAAGTCTTCGCGTTCATATAGCTTGGTTATTCTCAAGAATATGATGCATATTATACGCATATAATCTCGTGATGTGGACGTGAGCATTTGGTAATGACCATTTACTCCAGTTATCGAATTATTACTGCGCAGTATAACCTTGAGGAAACCATCAATATATGCCCACAAACAAGAACATTTACAAACCATACAAACTTCATTATTCCTCCATCGATCACTCCTAGGCCAGTAAAGCATTATAACTGCTTTTCTCGACTATGTCTTCAGGCTAAAGTATGCTAAAACTCTGCAACAGACTTTGGTCGTCCTTTGTTCCACGAATGTTTTGCAGTAACTAGTTAGCCAGCACTGTACTGTTGTTGGAAGAAGGACTCGGATGGGTTCACGTCGAGGTCACGGGTAGAGCGTACCCATATGGTATTGATTCCCAGGATAACCAAGTGGTGCGTATTCGATCATGCCAGTTCCTTATTCGGATTAGGGTTGTCCTCCCAATTCATCCATGAGCTCACCGTGACTGGCACGAGACATGAGTTAGTTTGTCGACCAACAGACCCGTTCCACATCCTCGTAGCTATTACCTCCAATACTAACTTTTATCAACTAACCTCCTCGAAGAACATGTCTGAGTACGACAGTCTTCGTGTTCAGGACACCCTGCCCGTAGCGCCTCCGCACGCGATACATGCAGACGACTCGTCTGCTGCAGAACCAGCCCGGCGTCATCTCGCACAGAAATCACGCAGGCCTTTCTTTTATAACCTACGCTCAAAGATATGTTCTCCATGTCACAGGTCTTCTTCTCCGTCTCCTTCAGCCAGCGACGTAGACTCGGACCACATCCCACTCGACTTGCCACCCATTGTCATAGAACAAGGCAGCGATAACGACAACGACAACTCGATCATTCTTGACGGTTCTAGAATTTCTCCAGTTCTACCAGACGACAAAGATATATACAAATGGGCTGTCATGTACGAAAACCAGCGAGGGTGTGTCTTTCTCCCTTCCTTCTCCTCATCAATGCCTCCAAAGCCACTCTCGTACTTACAGTCTTCGTTCATACACAGATTGACGGTCTTCTCCACGCCATACTACTCCCCCTACTCACTCTTTTTCTTTGACCCCCTCCCATTTACAGTCCCGTCCTCCTCTTCCCACCGCGCGGATCAACCAAACGTATCCCTACGGAACTACCCCCTCCCAGACGGCACCTGGCGCTGGGTCTCAAATGCGTGGATGATCGACATGCGCACCGACTCAGGCGAGGTACAACACGACGGATTCGAATACAACTGGATGTTCCGTCCGCACAGCTGGCGCGCCGAGGTGGGGAGCTTGAGCACTGGCGCGTGGGTGCGACGCAGGCGGTGGGTCAGACTCATGATGCGTCCGGCTCGAAATTTCAAGAAAAGCGATATAAAGCGCAAGAATGAGGACAACTATATTGATTGCGACTACGATAACGAAGAAGGACGCGAGAAGTCGAGATCGGTGCTTGACCAATTTCTCGGGGAGCCTAATCGCGTTTGGAAAGGCGATGAGAAGGATTGGGCACGGTGCCATACTTTACTAAGGCGCTTGGGAACAGATGGAGTTAAGCTCGAGTTGTGGAGAGCGTGGCTCGGACCTTATGGCTGTGACAGTGCTAGCATGACCAGTGTAAAGGGTAAGGAAGTGGCCAGGGAACCAAACCCAAATGAAGACGAGAAGGCTACTACCCCACCATCGACAGAGCCTTTCAATGAGCCCAGTCGGAAAAAAGGGAACATAACAGCTCCGCCGCTGGACCACCTTTCAGCCGTTCTTCGTGACCATGTACGCCTCACTTTATCTGTCTGCTAACCTACGTGCCGCATTAGGTGCTACTGACAATCCTCTTAGAATGACACCATCCTCCAAGGTTTTATGCTTCCCGATTCGCGTGCCAGATACCTAACGCTCCTGCACAAAGCAGGCCTGCTAGGTCCATCAGACGCGGGGCGCGCAAGCTACATGACACTTTCGCAGGTCTGCTTTTGGAGCTACGCGAGCGACCTGGGAGGGAAGAGGATGGAGAAGGAGGAAGAAATTTTGAGAGAGTGTAGAGAACTTAGGGAGAAACTGAAAGAGGAGGAGGCGAGGCGAGAAGAAGGCAAGAAAGCGATGGAAGAGATGGGGAAGGAGGTGATGAGGGCTGTGGAGAAGGAGAGGTGGGACGATGGCATGTGGACGGAGGCGTGGGAGACATTCGGGAAAGACGACAAATTTGTCGATGCTGAGGAGGGTGGAGACAAAGAGAGTGAAATCAAAGGGAAGAGGGAAGGGGAAGATATAATTTCGGGGCCTGAATCTAAACAAGAGCCCGGGGTTGAGGAGAACTCTTAAGGCAAGCGGATCTAATGTAGGCTAAGGAAGTGAGCTGATAATACTGCTGTATCGATTTGATTTGATCATGGCTCAAATCTTGTCGCTACAGGACAAATAATAAATTGAATCGCACTTTCTTTCAAGTGTGTACCTCTCAGGGTGCAACGAACAGCAAACAAACAAAGTAGATACATACATATTGATATATATAGGATAGTCCAGGGATGATGCTTGGGAGAACAGTGACGAGATATATATGGTCAAGCGTCAAAGCGTCTCCGTGATCAAATTGTGGTTTTCAAAACTTCGTCCCAGGTCTTGGGCAATGACGGCAGTGCACGTAGGAAAGCTTTGAACCACAACTCGTAAAATTTGTCTCCCAGTGTCGTTAGAGATTCAATCAAGTTGTCTGAATTGAGCTTTTTGACAATTGCCGTAGCCTCTTTCATGAGCGGTATGATTTCCGTGAAAAAGGGCACGAAAACCATCAAAATAGGGGAAAAATCGTTATCCAGGAATGATTCCTCCAGATTCGTCACTACCCACGTTTTATTCGTTTCGCTCGAGTCAGGATCGTCTGCAGCCAGTAATTTATGAAGCCATCGTCCCTCGTCAATCGTTAAGCTTTTACGTTCGTGGCCAATGTTCAACAACACGCATAATATGACCCAGAAGAAAGATTCCAAGTCATCCGCAAATGTATGAAGCACGGGTTGACGTGTATTCCACGCCTTCAGCACTCGCCTAGAAATGTAAGGGAGTGTTCCCTGAACAGACTAAATAACAGGCTAACCCGAAGATGAGCTACTTACCGAACGATGTTTCTCAAGCTTGCGATCAAGCTCTCGCCATCTAATTGCCTGGTCGCCGTCAGAGATCACGCCCACGCATTTTGTCAAGTTCTTGGTGCATTCGAACCTAGAATACTTTGACATCAATACCGCTTTGAGCTCATTATCAATTTAAGAGGACCTACCATGTCAGAGGCTTTCGTATTTCGGGCTCTGGTAACAATAGAACGTTACCATCGCTGACATCGCGGTGCAGCCATCCATCCTTATACATATTATAGTGACCTAGAAAGGGAGCATCAGTCCTGAGCGACGTCAAAACGGGGAAATACTCACCCATCATTCCATGGAGCATGCCTTCTAAGAATTGGTACGGCCCCGCAGCCGTCTGGAACTTACAGCACTCCGTTTTCAATATCAATCGCTTATGTACTCTGTTTTCCATCTTCACGTCTTCCTCCTGATTTTCCATCTTAGATTGTGTTTCCTTCTCCACCTGACTGTTGGGTCCCTTCGATTGTGTATCTTTTGACCCCTGGTATATGAATTCTATCTCTTCCAGAAGAAATATTTTTCTAATCTCCTCCTCAACCCACGCCCCCTTTTTACCATGTTCAACTGTGTACTGGGCGTAAACTTCAGGTATTCCCATCTCTCCTTGAGTGAAACGAAAAACTTCAACCTCGTCATGGCCGTCCAAAGGCCATGAATCTTTCAGGATCATGGAAGGTGGCGGAGGACAGAGGTCGAGTTCGGGGATGGGCGAAGGCTGGTAAGTTGGGAAAAGGGGGGATTCATCGTTGCAATTAATTCCTTGCCATTCAAGCTTCTCGGAGCCTTGATTCTGCTTGTTTGCTGGGTGATCAGAGCCTGACTTGTGGCGCTTGCTGCTTCCAGTTTCAACGACATTTTCGCGTGATCGTTTCCCAATACTTGAGACGGTAGAGGTTCGATTAGAAGAAGGTGCGACACCTTCAGTGCGCGGGCGTGAGGTGGAGGTGGGATATCGAGCAGTGGAAGTATCTATACTCGAAAGGTCTATGTCATTGCTGAGTGGATCATCCAGACGACAACGTGTGTGACACGACCCCGGATAAATTGGCGGCGACAGAGTAAGCCAACGATGTTGTAAAGACCCCAGTTTGGGATCAAGAAGTAGTGATTGTTCCGCGATGGATCGATCCCAGCCTTTGAATCATTTTCCCATGAAAGTATGCCCACTATGCCCCAAGGGTTACGCACCGGCGAATTGCGAGACATCAGGCTGGAGGGGGGTCCTTTGAGGGTCTTATCTGGCTAACATGGGCCTTAAACGGCTAACCTGGATGGGTAAAAATGTGAGTTGGAGGTTGACCATACATCATTTTGAGCATTCAAAGCCATACAATTACCAATAGCAGTAGCCTGTTGATATATGCCACCAGTCCCTTCAGTGTTCTGAGCTGTGACTAGCTGGCACCACGGTTGCTGACAGTGTAAGTGTTGATTGATTATGTAATTTACACTTCTCAAAGCAGCGCATGCAACAACCTGCAACAACTTCTACTTCCCGGATTGAGCGGACCTGTGAGTAAATATTACCATATTAGGACGTTCCCATGGTATACAGGTCCTTACCTGGCTAACCTAACCTGACGTCGGAAATTTCCTGCTTGCATACCCCTTGCTATGCCCTTTACAAAAGCGGCAAAGCCATCCTCTGTCTTTAGACTCAGCGCAGGGCTGCAAATCACGCCAGATCTTTGATAGAAGCAGAATTGAGCTTCGGAAGTTTTGTGGTTGAAGCCAATGACCAAAATGAAGTAATGGTTCTCATGAGCAATGAAGGTGCATCGTGCGTAGGTACTAGCCTGTTTAATCAGCTCATTCCAGTTGTCCTTCACCTCGCATGCGATAGTGAGACCTTGCCACGACACTTGACCATCCAGCTCCGACTCATTGGCAACACTGTTTAAAGACACTAAATCTGGCTTCAATGCGTGGGTAGTCCCACCCTTCATTTTGTTATGGTAATTGTAGAAGTTTAGACTGATGATAGCGGCCCTTACCAGCTTACTAACTTAGAGTCCGTACGGAACCACAGCGTTTCTGGGCACTTTAGCGAGAAAACATGTTTTTTTATGCCAGTGTGCCGTGACGTCACCCATTGGCACTCAGACCAACGAGTTGCACTCATCACAGCTTTGCTGCAACTGTCAGCTGCCTGCGGCACCTTCCACACCAGTGGTGCCACAAAAAACCATACAAGCAAACCTAACTGAAATAACCAATGTGACATGGCTTGCATGTGGCATTTGGGACCACCGTCCCCTTTATTTTAGATACCGCCATCTACTCCACCATGCCCCAGACCTGTCTCATGAAGAGGAAACTCTCTTCACAGTCAACAATCTCCATCCTAAGCACAAACACCTTTGACACTCACTGAGAATGGAGTGTATCCCCCCTCCACCTACCCTGAAGGCAACATTAGTTTAGTGATCAATAATCCCCCTTTGGCAGCCAAGGATGCATCAGATAACTTGTCAAACAGGGCTATACAGCCAGACAAGTGTGGATTGTTATATGTTATGAGCCCTGTGCAAGAGACGTGAACAGATTATGTAATTGAACGGACACATCAGCCAAAGGCTAGATCAGGCTAGACCTTGTGGGGGCGTGTTGGAATTGTCAAGGTCAAAGTCTGGGCCTTGTTAGACAACATTGTGCAATTGAGTGTTGATATCCATGAGCTGGTAGCCCAGATGGTTAGAGCACCACCATATATAGGCAGAGGTCCTGGGTTCAATCCCCGGCTGGTCTAATTTGCTTTTCTATACTCTCTTGAGTCCACTGTGGATTATTACAACAAGGAACAAACCTTACTTGTAGATTATATTGTAGAGAACTGGAAAGAGGTATACCAAGGCTGAATATTCCAGAAAGAGTTCTGGGACAAGGTAGTTTGAGATTCTATGGAACCGAACAAAATGGAAGGGAGATTTGAATTCAGTTTTTGAGCCAGCACAAGAATTGTGCCATGTGCCTCCCAATTTACTACCATACATACTGTACAAGTGCTGGCTTCATCATAGTACCGTCACTACAAATATCCCATCTTTTTATCGCTGTTGTCATTATTAAATTACTCTGCTGACACTTCGCTTTCATTCCTTTTCATAAACTTTTATTGACAAAAAACTTCATCAAACCACACAGAGAACAATGCTGGAAATTGACATTCACCAACAATTATTACCCAATTTTGCATCTGATGAATACAAAAACATTAGGAACAGCTTAATAATAGCCTTTGGACTCACTAATGACAAAGCTATCAGCAATCTTTCCAACACCTGGTGAAAACGCAACAATGTCAGACAACCTGATGTGCAACCACCCCAGATTGATAACCGCTGTCATGCACCAAAGTTGATTGGTAGCATGGACAGGTGTCAATAACGAAGCGAATATTCAAAAAGACTCGCCTTTGCGCCACACAGGCACAGTGCCACGTGGAATAGTAATTAATATTGCCCTTTTTGAACTTGTGGCTGATCAGCACCACCTCTATTAGGCAATCCAGTCACGCTCACCTTTGCTTTTCCATCCGGTACTTTCCGCGTTTCGGCATTTCGGCAAATTTTCGCGTCGCCACTGGCTACACATTGCATTGCGCCCTCGCTTTTGTCGTTTCCCTTACTCCCCTTCCTTTGCCTAGCCCCACCATGGGCCCCTTCCTCTCCTTTTTATTCTCACCTGACGGTCGTTTCTGGATCCCCATTCTAATCCACTTGTTTGTCACCTCCACCCTCCTCCTGTAACAACCAAGAGTTAGTTACTCTGGTGCACACAAGAACACACTATAAGGAAGATGTTTGAGGGAGTGGTTACCCCTTAAGCTGCAGAGAGTTTGTTGGTATACAACAGGAGGACTCGCTGAGGAGTCTCCTGGATCTATTGGGGTATATATACTACTACAGGTTGTTTGTACATGTGTACTATACAGTTGATGAAGGCAGTGGCTGATGATGTCATAGGGCCTAGCCCGTATGGCCAGCTCCACTGCGTGAGAGAGTTTTAAGTCTAAAAGAAAGGCAACGCGGCGCGAGAAAGGGAAATGCCGCGTGGCACTTAAAGTATAAAGTTAAAGCGGAGAATAAAAGGAAAGGAGATGTCCGGAAATTGTGTTATCGTAACACTACCCCCCTTCTAAGGCTCGACTTCCAGGCGAGACCAAATACCGGAGGTAGCGGTAAAATTTTCGGGCATAGGTTGAAAAAGGGAATTAAAAAGTTTGGAATCCATGCCTCTAAGCTTTCTGGGAGCTGAGGGATTCCTAGAATAAAATTCGCGAACAGCGTCGCGGGAGTTTTCCAGATGGGATTCTGGTTCCCACGTTCTGTCCTCGTCTCCATAGCCCTTCCATAGGACCAGGAACTCTAATTTTCCACGCTTCAAGCGTGCATCTACCACTCGTTCGACTTCGAACTCTTCTTCACCTTCCTGGGTGACTACTACCGGACCGGGCCGGTTTACGCGTTGTCCCGGCAGCGGTCCTTTGTAGGGTTTCACACGGCTAATGTTAACCGTGGGTACCACCCTCATTCGTTTTGGGAGTTCCAGCTCCACCGCATTAGGTTTGACTTCCTTAATCCGGTAAGGGCCAATCCACTTTTCGGTCAGTTTTCTAGACTGCCGGTCTTTTAATTTCAAGTGGTCGGTGTCTAACCAGACCAGGTCGCCGACCTTGTAATCAGGGGCCTTAGAGCATCTACGCTCTGCCCTGTCTTTCATCTGCTCCGCAGTTTTAAATAGCGCTTTGCGCGTTTCGTCCAAGACAGACTTCATGTCTTTTGCCATGTTCCCAGCAGCCTCGTTTTTGCTCTTGCCAGGTTCTACACCCATTCTGGGGAGGTACGATCTAGTAACCTCGAATGGTGCCTTTCCTGTAGCCGACGACTGTTTAATATTATATGAGAACTGGGCTATCTTTAGCCACTTGGCCCAATCCGTCTGTCTGTCATTAATAAATATACGGAGATACTGCTTTAACTCCTGGTTAAGTCTCTCCGTTTGTCCATCGGTTTGCGGATGGAACGCCGTGGATAATTTAGGTTTGATGCCCAGCATCCGGCACAATTCTTTCGTAAACTCGCTAGCGAATTGCGGTCCTCTATCAGAGATTACCGTTTCTGGTAACCCATGGATGGACCATACGAAATCCTTAAATAGGTCTGCCGTACCGGCGGCGGTGATGGTTTTGTTGGTGGGTATGAATACCACTTCTTTGGAGAAGCGGTCTACTACCACCATTACTGAATTGTACCCGTTTGACTCGGGCAGATCCGTTGTGAAGTCCACCGATATATCCTGCCAGGGGCCAGCTGGTATCGGGTTCGGCATGAGTTTACCCGCCGGCGGTTGATGGGAATTCTTGGCCATGGCGCATCTCAGACAGGATTTTACATATTCCTGTATGTCTTTGACCATGCCAGACCACATGTAGTTTCTGGAGATCAACTCCATCGTTTGTTGCCATCCAGGGTGCCCAGCCACTGGAGTGTCATGATGTCTATCTATTGCCTTGATCCTTGCGGACTCTGGCACATAGATTTTGTTTTTGAAATGAAAGAGCCCGTCTTTCCATAAATAGTTTTCATTGCCGTCAAGGCGCGCCTTTTCCTCTGGGGAGATGTCTTTCCTGAAGTCTTCCAGGAGAGCGGAATCTTGCCCGATTCTAACATTGGCAACCCTTGATTGATCTATCAGGGTGGCACCTTTGTTGTCATCTTCAATGCCGTTGGCATGATCCTCTCTTCTAGATAAAGCATCCGCTTTCCCCATTGAGCTTCCCGGCTTATGAATTAATTTATAATTGAACCTTGACAAGTACACCGCGTAGCGGGCTTGTCTCCGGTTCAGGTCTCGGGCCGTCATGAAGTACTCTAGGTTCTTATGATCGGTCCAAATTTCGAATTGGTGCCTAGCACCTTCTAAGTAGTGCCGCCAGTGCTCTAAAGCTCTAATGATGGCCAGCATCTCCTTGTCGTATATTTGATAGTTACGCTCTGTAGGCGACAA